TCATGTCAATGTATGACAAAACCCACTACAATATTGTAAAGTAATTAGCCTCCAACTAATAAAAATAAATGAAAAAAAAAGTAGCCTCACTGGGTCATCTCAACAACAACAAAAAAATTCAGTGTTTGGAGAAGGGGAAATATCATATGACATCCTTTATATGCAGAGTTTATAAAGAAATAATACAAATGAACTTACAAAACAGAAACAGACTTAGAGAACAAACATGGTTGCCTGGGGGAAGGATGGGGGAAGGGATAGTTAGGGAGTTTTGGATGGGCATGTAGACACTGCTATATGTAAAATGGATAACCAACAAGGACTTAGGTATAGCACACGGAACTCTGCTCCGTCAGCCTGGATGGGAGGGGCATTTAGAGGAGAATGGATACATGTATACACATGGCTGAGTCCCTTCCCTATTTACCTGAAACTATCACAATGCTCTTTGTTAATTGGCTATATCCCAATACAAAAGAGAAAGTTAAAAAAAATTCACTGTCTCACCCAATTCATCTTGAATTCTACTGTAAATCATCAACAATTATGCTATTATTAAGTTCTTCTAAGTCCTCTGCAAAACACACATGAGGATACATACACAGAAACACACGTATATTTCCTCCTTTCTTTAGCAATACTGACATCTCCAGTAAAATAACAAAAGTGAGAAGCATTTCATAATTGAAAAGAGCTACAGAGTGTCCATATCTAGTTGTTCAGGACTCTGCTTTGAATTGACAAGAATCACTAGTTGGTTAAGTCATTTTTCTAACCAAACGAATTTCTCATAGGGTGTGATAAGGAGCCAAACATGGGTGTTACAGTGATTTTTACCTTTTTCTCACAAAGGTATGTGAATGCCAATCTGACTAAGAAAATGTAAAACATGGTTTAGTAATGTAAACAGAGAAAAGACTAAGGTGAAAATAAACAGTGCAGTTATTCTTACAGTGAAACTTCCACCCAGCTCCAGGGCCAGAAATGCTTGCTATGAGAAATTTAAGCATCCCCATCTCATTCATTCATCCATCCATCCATTCAACAGATTTCAAAATGAAAATTCAGTAAGTTTGCCAAGACATTAAATACATCTGATGTAGAAATAGCAGCCATGCAACTAAGATCTAGGATTCATTACAAATGTAGAAATATTAGGGCTTTAGAAAGCAGTTTAGATCATAATTTTTGAAGATTATATTGTTCTTCCCCTCATTTTAGTAAAGGACTTGATTCTGTAAATTTAGTATTTATAATAAAACATTTATCATTGTTGTTCTGTCACTGAGTCATGTCCAACTCTTTGCAACTCCATGGACTGCAGCACGCCAGGCCTCCCTGTCCTTCGCCATCTCCTGGAGTTTGCTCAAACTCATGTCCATTGAGTCGGTGATAAAACACAGCCTAACATTAATTAAATATACCATTCTTCTGTGGCCGTGAATTTTCCCTGAGTTGTTTCCTACTGGAATGCACAGCTTTTACAGATGTGTTTGGTACAAATGTATGTTCAGGGCACATGATTTATTCTGAAAGAAGCAGCTACCTTCTTGTGTATTTTTTAAAAACTAGACAGGAAAATAACACAACTTTATATTTGTATAGAGCTTTAGGTCTAAAAAATGGTTGACAAGCCTCAGTACATGTTCAAAGATATGCAGAAAGGGGACGTGATCACTCAGCACAGTGCGCACAGCACCTCAAACCCACGAGGCTCCACTCCAGCAGGACAGGCACGACGACTTCCAAGGGGGCCAGACTTACGGACCAGGACACACCACAGCGGCCTGAAGGAGCTCAGACCAAGAAAACGTCACTCTGTAGCTGAAGCAACGAGTGGGACAGGGCCCTTACGGAGACAACACGCAGAGACAGGGAGAGAGACAGGAGAGAGGACACTGCGGCTTACAGGCGTTCTAGAGCTTAAGCAGGCAGCGACATGTAGTTATCTGTATCTCGTGTAATGGTTTTAGTGCCTCTCTCATACCACTCCAGGTATTGGCAACTGCCAGTAGCCATCAGTATACATGCAGAGCAGACAGTGCTATATAAACTCAGACAGCTTTACCAAAAAAGTCTACTGATATTAAGCCGTTAATTATAATGAAAATAAATACAGACTCCCTTGCATCATCAGAGGCTGTCCCAGAGCTTTCCCAGTGGCTCAGTGGCAAAGAATTCACCTGCTAATGCTGGAGACATGGGTTCGATCCCTGGTCTGGGATTCCTACATGCTGCAAAGCAATTCAGCCTGTGTGCCACAGCTATGTATCCTGGGCTCCAGAGCTGGGAGCCACGACTGCTGATGCCCACCCACCCAGAGCCCAAGCTCTGCACTAAAGGGAGCTGCTACAGGGAGGAGCCCAGCCCCTCAGTTCAAGAGGAGCCCCGCTCAGCACTATAGAGAAAAGCCCTGCAGCAATGAGGATGAAGCACAGCCAAAAACAAAACTAAAAAGAAAAAAAGGAGAGCCATGAGCAAACCAAGGAGATGTGCTACCATGACCTCCCTCTAATATCTCATGTCACTGTCGTGAAGTTACGTGTTGGAACTGGCTGTGAGACAGCTGACAGAACCAGACGTCTCAGTGAAATCAACCCCCAGCTCAGGGCAGGTGCTTAACAAATACTCATGAGGGTCCATGGCCATGGAAAAGTAAAGACTTTAAGCCTCAGTGATGTGAAATCATCGGGAAATGAGACGTATTCAACAGTGAGCAGAGCAAAGGAAAGATGGGGTCGCCAAGCCTAGCTCCGGCCGCCCTGAGCCAGCGATTCGCCAGAAGACGCCTCCTACTCCCATGCTCAGCAGGGTGAGGCCACTCTTTGTGTTGAGTGTGGGGCTGGTTTTGTCCCAAGAGCACACTGCCACCAGAAAACAAAGTGAAAGATTTTTTTTTTCCTCAGCTGGAAATGTTTTAGGACCATGAAGAGCCAGAGCTTGAATCAGAAAATCATGAGCATCCCTTCAAAGCTATCATAATTAACTATTTCATTAGTGACTTTCAGAAAAGAAACAGTCATATTTCTCCACTTTGCCGATTGAATGTTTGAAAAACTCAAATCATGAGACTCTATACTCCTTGATCGTGGTATGCGTGTGTGCGAATTCATTCAGTCATGTCTGACTCTTTGCCACCCCATGGACTGTAACCCGCCAGGCTCCTCTGTCCATGGGATTCTCCAGGCAAGAATCCTGGAGTGGGTTGTCATGCCATCCTCCAGGGGATCTTCCTGACCCAGGGATTGAATCTGCGTCTCTTACATCTCCTGCATTGGCAGGCGGGTTCTTGATCCTGGCAGTATTGCAATTTTTCCAAATATGACACCATTGTCCACTAGATTTGATGTCAAATATTTCGAATCACTTCTAGAGTTTGTGAAGGATTTGTGTACCTTCCATCAACCAAGTCCTGTCTCTAAAGCCATGTTCATCCAATGACATGTCAAAGAGTCTGTGTGTTCCGTCATCAAAGAGAGAAGCAGGAGGGTGGGTATGCAGGAAGGGAAGAGGGAAAAAGATGAAGATCCTTATAAAGAGGGAAAATAAGTCAAGGAAATAAAATCTGCAGCAGGTTTCCTCAACCTTTACTTAATCAGACTGAAGACGGCACATGTGACAAACAGAACCATATGTCAGCTAATGACCCAAGTAACACTCTCGAGAGAGTTTGACTATGTGCGTCTTGACTGCATGACCTGGGCAGCTGTGCTTGAGTTCAGCCTTCTTTTTCACACACTTTCGGTCATTCCCTTGCTGTTAGAAGATGCTGTCGCCTCTGCTACAGTAACCTGCCTAGGAGCCTTCCCCTCTTCTAATTTCTTCTTATTTTCCTGGGATTTCAAAATCAGAAGGGAGAGCCTGTGTGGTAGATCACATTACTGTTCCTAATTATTCACTGCTCTTGTGTAAAGGATTATGTGCTTCCACCCACTGCCAAGGGACGTGGAGGACAGTGTCCTTGTGGAGAAAATGTACGTCTCTCCTCCACGGGCTTCACGTGCCCTACTGGGCCCCGTGAACTTGAAATGGAAGTGAGAAATGCCTCATCCAAGCAGAAGCTCCGAACCCAGCCAGAAACCCCGGGATGGACACGTGACTCAATCCTGCACCAGGATGTCAGCAGGACGTAGGGGCACACACTCTCTGCCCTCAGCTCTGGTCCCTCTGCCCAGGATGCAGACTCAGTCCTGCAGATGGGGCAGCCGGGACGTGAGAGGTGTCAGGATGCACATTGCTATGCAGAATGACCACGCGGAGAGAGAAGGCCATGAGATGCTCACAGCCGGCTAAGGCGCTGAACAAAGCAGAGCAGACGCAGAGCCCCGCTGCCTGGCTCCACCCCAAGAAGGGCACGCTCGGACCAGGCCAGCTCCTTCACACCAGAGTCTAAATGAAAGTGCCCGTGGGGCAGGGAGCACTTGGCCAACAGTCAGCATCCTGAACTAAAAAATGCACAAACCGCTGAGGCTTTCTTTTCTCATCACAAACTTGCAGAAGCTGACTAAGCCAGGCGTGTTACAATGGAATGCAGAACAAGAGGAGGGTGAGTTAGGGCCTGAGACCCTCTTGGGAGACAGTTCTAGCAGTTCCTTCTGGGCGTCCCTCCCCCTGACATACACACCACCCTCCAGGTAGGGAAGCTTCAGCAGGGTAACCAGCTGTTACCACTATGAATGGTGACTTCCATCCCCTTCATCTGAAGTCCCCTCAGCCCTTAACTTATAACCCGTCAGATACACAACAGCATGTCTGTTTTTCAGAGGGTTAAAAGCTGTTGAGGGGGAAAAAAAAGGTAATAGAACTTTTCTATTACACAGCTGGCATCTTGTACACAGAGAAAAAACCAATACCCTTTGCCAGATTGCATAAAGGTTACTCTGCAATCCAAATTCAAATTTTAAGAAAACATTGTGCTTACACTATGAAGTAAATAAGTCTTCAGGTTTTGAGAACTAGAAACAAAACTGATCTGGTTCTTCCTTCCGCCAGCTCCTTACCTTCTGTGGACTCTTTGATATGGAGGCGCTTGTTGAGTTCATCCAATTTGTTCTTCATGTGTGAAAATAAAAAACAGAGAAAAGGGGAAAGAAAACAGATCAGAAATGGTCTTTCTTTCCAGCTCCCTTCTCTCTATTCAGTACCCAGCTAAATTCAAAATAGGATCCTAAGCTTCACCAATATCACACACACTATAAAGTGTTACTACTTTATCTCAAATTGACACTGAGGCTCTACTTCTTAGCCATCCATGGCATTGAACATTCTATTTAATCTCTTCATGACTTTGCTTCCTTTTCCTAAAACCGTGGATAATCATGGGACCAGCCTCCCATGTCTATGATGAGGATTAGGGCACATATATATAAATTAACTCTAATATTGCCTCAAAAGTTTGGATTAATCTCTAGGTACACTAAAGTGATTCCCAAACGAATTTATAAAACTGCCTTTGCTAAAGTAGAAATGGAATGACCCAGCAATCCTGAAACTGTCATGACTCAACAATTCCATTTCCCACTGTAGATCCTGGAGACATTCTAGCATGTGTACAAAGACATTTGCAGTAATGTCTACAGCAGTATTGTCTGGAGGTTGTAACAGTTGGAAATTACCAAGCATCCTCAAGTAGCAAAATGAATAAAATCATGATGCAGTAGTTGTACTATTATGCATTATAATAATTATTGATATTAGCAATAAAAATGAATGAGATAAAATTTCATGTATTAATTTGTAAAAAAAATCTTAAAAATACAGTGATCAACAAATAGATGCAGGATACATATGTTATAACAGTATTTACATAAAAAATATAAAACATCCAGGGGACTTCCTTGGTGGTCCAGTGGCTAAGACTCCACACTTCCAGTGTAGGGGCTGTCAATTCAATCCCTGGTGTGGGAATTGGATCCAGAATGCTTCGAGGAGCAGCCAAAAAAACATCTTTTTAATAAAAAATAAAATATTCAAAACTATACTGTAGGTTATTTTAGGGAACTATGCTAAAGGTATCTTGATACATTATTTTGAGATACTGTATGGAGTGAAAGTACAGAGGCCTCCATGGCAATTATACAGCTTCCTCGGTGGCTCGGTGGTGAAGAATCCACCTACTAATGCAGGGGACCTGGGTTGGATCCCTGGGTCAGGAAGATCCCCTGGAGAAGGGCATGGCAGCCCACTCCAGTATTCCTGCCCGGAGAACCCATGGACGGAGGAGCCTGGAAGGCTGCAGCCCACGGGGTCACAGTCAGACATGACTGAGCGACTAAGCGCAGCACAGGGTATTAGTTAGCTTTGAGGCAGGAAGGAAGTGGGACGGGGCAGGGGTGTCACGTGGAGCTTCTATTCCATCTTTAACGTTTTCTTTCTCATGATGTCTGTATTGAAGTGTTCATTTTATTAATCTTTATACCTTTTCTGTATGTCTGTTTTTTTTTTTTTTTAAGAAAAGTAATCTTTTGGAGAAAACCATTGAGGAAATAAAGATGATCTAGAATCCCTCCAAAACAGTTTAAGATAAAAGAACCAAAATATTTCTTGTTTCCCAGAGGAAAGGCAATTCAGAAAACAAAATCTAATAGATGCCTCTAAAAATATAACTGGAATTCACTTCAAAGACCATTTCCTGTTGACTTGGGCAACTCAACTCCTCCAGCTGAAGTCTTAGAATTACCTACTTTAATTAGCGCTGTTAGTTCTCATCAGGAGCTAAAGTAGGAGGCGTTAAAGGGGATGTAGGACTCCCCTGGCAGTACAGTGGTTAAGACTTAGCCTTCTAATGCAGGGGCTGAGGGTTCAACTCCTGGTTGGGGAGTTAGGATCCTATATGCCTTGAGGCCAAAAAACCAAAACATAAAACAGAAGTAGTATTGAAACAAATTCAACAAAGACTTTAAAAATGGTCCACATTTAAAAAAAAAAGAAAAGAAAACTTAAAAAGATAATGAGCTCATATATAAAAAAATAAGGCATGGGTGGAGGGAAATGAAGCAAACTTCCTGTCACGGTGGGCCTCCCAAACTGTGTCTCCCAGGCAACAAGGAACCCTAGAAGGTAGACAATGGTGGGAGAGGGGGGAAGACCAGTAATAAAACTATTTTCCATTTTTCTGAGGTCTAATGGAAAGATCACACATTTGCCTGTAATAAAACCACACATGCAAAAATCGTGGATTGCTTTGCTTTGTGTTGGAAGCCTATCAACTCAGTGTGGTAACACTGGTTGTATCTTGCTGTCAAGAGTACTGATTGGCAACTTTAAAGGTCATTGATCAATATAAAATTCAATAAGCAAATCACTATCGGCTATACTCCAGTACAAAAGAAAAAGCTGAAAAATATCCACTGGGATTTTGAATGAGATTGCTTTGAATCTATAGATTAATTTAGGAAGAACTGCCATCAATATTGAGTGCTTCAATGAATGATGAGTATCAGATCATTTACTTCAGTTCAGTCGCTCAAGTCGTGTCTGACTCTTTTCAGCCCCATGGACTGCAGCACGCCAGGCCTCCCTGTCCATCACCAACTCCCGGAGTTTACTCAAACTCATGTCCATTGAGTTGGTGATGCCATCCAAGCATCTCATCCTCTGTCATCCCCTTCTTATTTATTTAGGTCTTCTTTAATTTCTCTCAAACTGTTTTCTAGTTTTCAGCATTCCTAGATATTTTATATTTTTTACACTATTGTAAATGTTTTAAAATTTCATTATCCAATTGTCTGGTGCTATATTTAGAAATAGAATTGATTTTTACATATGAGAAAAATATCATTATTGGACATGTGTTTGTTTCAATAACTAATAACTGTCCCAACCCGCTGTGTGGGGTAGTGCCTGTTTGCACGCCCACCCCCCAACCTGTTGCCCCGTTCCCTCCCCTGCCCTGTGCCTGGAAGACTTATGTCTAGGGATGCATCAAAGAGCAAGCTTGCCCTTTGGCTGGGCGCCAACAGCGAGCGGCACCAGCAGGGGTGGCGAGGATGTGTTTCCACCCCCAGCTTCCTCTCTACCAGGCTGCGGTGTATTCACTGCACCCATCAACCAAATTTCAGTCCCCTCCTACAGGCTTCTTTCTCCATGTGCTGGTAACTGTCCCTCCCCTTTCTTGTTGAAATCCAGCTTGGTACCCTGGGAGCCCCAGGCGTCTTTACCATCCCTCCTCGATTTCCCTCTACCCTGCCAGCTTTGTAAATAGGCTTCTCATTAAATGTGATTGAAACAATCCCTTTAAGCCTCCTTGAAAAACCTCTTCTGCATGGGCCATCTGTTTCCTATTGGGACCATGACTGTAGACATGTGATCCAGGTTGAAAAAAAGAAAAACGTTTGGTTAGGAATTGTGACGCCACAGAATAGTATGAATTTTATTCTTTGCTCTTCATTATCTATGCCTGTGCTGTCCAATATGGTGGCCACAAGCCACTAAATGAAGTTAAAAATTTAGTTCCAAGTGCTCGAAAGCTATGTAGCTAGTAACTACTATTTTGGACGATGCAGATAGACCACGCATATCATCAGAGAAAGTTCTATCGGACAGCACTGCTCTACACCCAACAGGCCCTTCCCTGATAAACAAAAAAGATTACTTCTACCTTTGGCTCTAGCTTATCATCACAGGTACAGCCCAGGTCAAAATCAGACTGAAGGTACATAATCCCTGGGTAGTTGGGTCTAGTGACTTCCTCTGGCATAGTTGGTCTGAAGATGTTGGTACGCAGGAGATGGTTCAAACTCCCGTGGGTCCCGTTATTAGGAGCTGGCTTCAATCCCAGGAGATCTGATGAGAAGAAAGAAAAGGGCCAGGTACTTTGTAAAAATTTTTGAAGAGATAGGTGGAGAGTCAAAACCATTCACCTCCCAAGGGCCGGAAAACTTGGAACACAAATCAGAATGGGATACAACCAAATTTAGACGGTAGGCTCCCTTCTGAGTTCCTAAGTCATCCTTGCCTGATGAGGTCTTGGTAACAACTTTCTAAAACAGCATCTTCATGGCCTGATATCAAGAGAGACATTCCCAAAAAGAGTGAAGGAATAGCGCTTCGCTTCGCCACCCTTTCTGTCTGTGACAGCTACAGCCCAAGGACCATCAGCGTCAGGACCACTGCCTTTCTGCTTCTCCGTGAGACTTTTATCCCGAGTTTTGAAGTGGGGCTTATGATCAATAAATAACCTCGAGCCTGCCCTCTCATGCACGGCACAGAACGGGGACAAGAGTAGGCTTTGGCCGTGTGCCCTGAAGGGCCGCTGTGAAATGAACAGGCTGATTTGACAGCGAGTGAGGCTGCCAAGCAGGCACACAGGGACTGGCCTGAGCCGAGAGGGGGGCCGGGGAGCGCCGGCAGCCCAGAGGGGAAGGGGACCCAGGAGACCCGACGTGCAGACTCCCCCTCTAACCGCCAGACTGGCACTCCCTTACTAAATAGGAAAAGCTGTCCTCATCCAGCAACTAGAGGCTCCAGGAAGAAAAATAATTAGGAGCACATAAATAGCTGGCCAGGAGGTAAGCTGGCAAGCCGTGCGCTGGGCTGCGATGGGAGAGATGGAGGTGGGGGAAGGTTCTCTGCCGAGCTCCCGCTTCACCCGGCCTGCGACCGGTGGTGTCAGACTGTAATGCTATGTTAGATCAGCCGGAGGCTGCCAACAGCAACACCATGAAAACTCCCCATTAGTCAACTGTTGGAGGAAGACACAGAAGTCTTAGAAGGGGGATGAGACTCTGTCCCTTGAATCAACGGGCAAATTACAGCATTTTTCTTATGAAAAGATGGGGTGATCCCAGAAAACAGACACCTCATTTCTTTCTCCAACATCGAAAGGAGTTCATGTGTTAACTCTGGATTGTTTTCCTGGTTTTGATGAAATAAGTGACTTACCACACATAACATTGTAAAGTTCAATGTTTTCAAATGGAGGTACTTTGGTCTTGTACTTAAATGTTGGGCCATAACCTACAAAAACAGTCTTCCAAAAGAAAAGAAAACAGAAACAATTAGGCATTGCTAATATCCAGGAGCAACCCTCCCTTGAGTTAGGAATGCTTTGCAAGCTTCACTCACACCTCCGTTCCCATCCTTTTTCAGAACCTCTACAATACACTTCGATTCATAGTTCTGGGAGCATACCTGCATACTGTTGACCTTGTTATCAAATCCATGGTCTCCCTGGAAAAAACATTTCCCTGATGGTTTCTTATAAACCTCCAGAGGTTTCCTAGAGCGAAACGATTGTACAGTCAATCAGGACTTCTCATAAAATCACTGATAGAAAAAAAAAGATCTCTAAGAAGTGGATTTTACTAATACAAGCGTGTTCCTCTCCACTTTCACTGCATCATTCCCAGGGTGATGAAAGATGAGGCTGTCTTTCTGCCCCCAGTGCTCTGGCTCTGACGTTCAGCCTAGGACAGGTTGGGACCTGAGGTCTGGCCCCCTTCTCCTATCTCACGGACGCGCTGATCACAGGTGCAGACACACCCTGCAGGCGCTGCCCGCTCTGTCCCAGGCCAGCCCCTTAAGAGACTCTCACGACAGAGAGTCACACGAAGCTTTTGGTTTCCCGCTACAGATAAAAGTTACATTTACACTATCCTGCATTAAGTATGCAGTAGCATTATGTCTAAGAAAACAATGCACATACCCTAATTCAAAAATAGCACTGGTGGAGAAAGGGCACCAGTAGACTTTCTCGATGCAGAGTTGCCACAAGCCTTCAGCTGTCTGCCCACGTGCCCCACTGACTGAAAGAGTCTCTGCTCTGGGACCAGGTCTGTCTGGCTCACTCCTATGTGCCCGTCACTAGGCTCCGTGCTAAGTACACACCCAGCTGGCGCTTTTAAAATGTGTGATGTTTTATCAGTGAACGGAGATCTGCATTCCACAGAAATATTTGCATACAGATTTCCCTGTCAACAAATGTATCTGATAATACCGCTGGGAAGTGTAACTGATGGTAAGCTTAACACACGTGACAGTGGCACCGCTTAACAGGAGCCAAGCCTCACCGGGGCAGTGGCTCTGTTTAGAAACAGAAAACGGAAACCTGGCTCTCGAGACATCAAAAGCATTTGAACTTCCTTGTTGTGACAGGAAGATGCCTTTTGCTTAGAGTCATGTAGCAGTTTTCCAAAACACTAACATGTTTATTAAGACAAATATTTCCTAAGTATGTGTAGGTACATGGCACTGAAGTACAGCACTTGGAGAAAAACAAAGAAATTGAATGTTTGAGTCCTTGATCTTGGGAAAAGTACTTTCACCTTGGGGTAATATGTGTGTATACAGCTCAACAGTTCAAGTTAAATTGAGAAGATGTGCTGCTAATTAAAATGGCTGGCTTTGGTCTATGCTAATCTGCTCAACTGTCTTCATGTTTTACTCAACTTCTACTGAACTCCCAAGTTTTCTTCATCAAAACATACGTGTCCCCTGCAATGGAAGTGTGGCTTTTTAACCACTGGGTCACCAGGGGAGTCAGGAAATTTCTTTTTATAATGTCTAATGACCTTACAGCAATGCAGCTGCCTTATAGAACTACATACAGTGGGGGGTTAGTCTCTCAGTTGTGTCCAACTCTTTGCGACCCCATGGACTGTGGCCCTCCAGGCTCCTCTGTCCTTGGGATTCTCTACGCAAGAATACCAGAGTGGGTAGCCATTCCCTTCTCCAGGGGATCTTCCGACCCAGGGATCGAACCCAGGACTCCCGCATTGCAGGCAGATTCTTTACCGTCTGAGCTTCCAGGGAAGTCCTCGGGGCTGAGGGGATGGTTATGAAGGTGAGAAACAGGGACTGCCTGTCCCCAAGGTACCTTGCAACGTGCCATCTGCGCTCCACCAGTAAATGAACGTCTTCGATCCTTCTGTTGTTGGCGTAGTGCAAACGTTTGGGAAGGTGCTGTTTCATGTAAGGCTTAAAGTGCTGGTCTGGTTTTTTACACTGAAATATAAACAGATATTGAATTTTGCATGGAGAGTCTTCTGGAAAAGCCCAAGATATTCTCTCCAGAAAGCTGAAGGAGGTTTTAAGTCAAAGGAAAGGCTAATTAATAAGTAAATGGAATTTGTGACCCCCCTCCCCATCAAATAATAAAAGCGGAAAACACAGATTCAAATGGGATTAGCTAACGTTGAAGACAAGACTATGGTTTTTCCAACGGTCAGGTATGGATGTGAGAGTTGGACTATAAAGAAAGCTGAGCGCTGAAGAATTGATGCTTTTGAACTGTGGTGGTGGAGAAGACTCTTAAGTGTCCCTTGGACTGCAAGGAGATCCAACCAGTCCATCCTGGGGGAGATCAGTCCTGGGTGTTCATTGGAAGGACTGATGTTGAAGCTGAAACTCCAATACTTTGGCCACCTGATGTGAAGAACTGACTCACTTGAAAAGACCCTGATGCTGGGAAAGATTGAAGGCGGGAGGAGAAGGGGACGACAGAGGATGAGATGGTTGGATGGTATCGACTCCATGGACATGAATTTGGGTGGACTCTTGGAGTTGGTGATGGACAGGGAGGCCTGGCGTGCTGCGGTTCATGGGGTCGTAAAGAGGTGGACACGACTGAGCAACTGAATTGAACTGAACATTGAAGAAGACATGGAAGGGTATCACAGAGGGGGGTTAGACGTTTTTAAGATATGTCCCTGACTCGTGGGACCGTCACACAGAGCAGCTCAAACCCCAAGGCTTTTCTCAAACACTCTAAGTCCAGGGGTGGGGCGGGGGGTGGGGCAGAGAGGAGGAGCGGTGAGGTTCACGAGGTCACCTCCTCAGGCGCTTTCAAGCTCTCTAATCTGGATGGTGGAAACGGAATGGGGCTTGCGCAGACCTGGTTCAGAAAGTGCAAGGGTCTATTTAACCAAGGATGAAGGCTTTTCAGCCCTAGTGGCATGATCAAATATCCCCGTTCTGGATCACTGCCAAGACCATTGGGGAGCCCGCTGCTGTGCATGGCCAGGATTTCTGAAAGCTCTTAGGGAGATAAACACACCGGATGGCAGGACGGTGAGGAAAACGCTCCTCTCATCCTACAGGGAGGTGAGCACAGGAGGTGAGTGTGTGGAAGTTACTCTAAGGGCAGAGTCCCGGGATATGCAACACTTACCGTGAGATTAGCAATAATGACTTTAGGGTCATCTGTTCAAAGAGAGAAGGAGAGAGAGTTCAGAAGAGTTGACAAGAGTCACCGAGAGAAACCAATGTTGCAGCAAGAAACTCAGTCCTTTTCTTTTTCTTCTGGAAGAGTTCTTTAGATTTTGTTTCAAGTACGTGCAAAACTCTGTGTGGGTATTTAATAGTTTAGTAAGTGAAATACATCAAAATAAGTAGAAATTCCGATGGTAAATGTCCCTGCTAAGTCTGGGTCAACTTTCCTGAAAGGGAATTCCTCCTTTCAGAGCACCAGGATGTTGCTGGGTAAATGGCTTTTTAAAATTCTCCCAGCCGACTCACAGACTAGAGAACTTATGATTGCCGGGGGGGAGGTTGCAGGGAAGGGATAGTTAGGAAGTTTGCAATGGACATATACACACCGCTATATTTAAAGTGGACAACCAACAAGGACCTGCTGTAGGGCACAGGGAACTCTGCTCGATGTTAAGTGGCAGCCTGGGCGGGAGGGGAGGGGGCTTGGGGAGAATGGATACATGCGTATGTATGGCCGAGTCTCTCTGCCGTTCACCTGAAACTATCACAACATTGTTAATCAGCTATTCTCCAATATAAAATAAAAAGTTAAAAAAAACCCTCCTAAGGGGTCCCTCTGGAGCCTGGATTGAGTTTATCTTAAATTAAGCATCAGGAACTATACTGAGGCATTGGGGCTTTGAATGGAACTCCCTATGTAGCTGTAGATCTTTGAAACAAGTGACCGTTCACCTTTAAGATGGATCTTCTAATCCACTGAGTTATTTTTTCTAAAGACAGTTTGGTTTCCTCAGTAATATCACAAGTCTAATGACACGAGTGGCTGCCCCTTCTCCGTCTCTCTCTCTCTCTCTCTCACACACACACACACACACGTACAGACGGACCTCCTTTTCCCTACCAGCAAATAAAGGATATTTTAGTCAATATCCTGAACTAGCTAAAAGCAAAGCTATGCAAATAATAGCTGTGTGTAAACTGTGGACAGGATTGTATTATCTGGAGGTCCCCTTTTGGGCGTGGGGGAGTGGGGAGAAAGAGGAGATTGTAGGTTGGTTGGATTTTGTTGTGTTTTCCAAAAATTTGCTTCAGCATGTCATTATAGAATCAGCAGAAAAGGAAAGCAGCGTTCGGAAGAGATACGGACAGGCAGGGGGGAGCCGTCCCCCGAATGTAAACACCCGCGGAGCAGGTAGTGCCTGTCATTTCCTGCTGCATCCCCCAGGCCCAGGGCAGCATCAGCGCGCAGTAACCGTGCTAGTAAACAGAAGCAAAGACTTGTGGAGGCTGGTGCAAATACACTAGCAAGCTTGCCTGGCCGCATAAATGTGCGCTCTTCAAAGACAACGTTCAGAATCTTACTTCTAAAGCTATGAAATTTGTAGATAAATGTGGATTCCCTTCTACTTAAATTGGACTTAAAATTTAGCTGCATCTTTCAAAGGCAAGGAGATAGGTAACAATGGTAGCTGCAATCATTAACCCAGATCGCACCCACACGGCATGCAGCCCCTCTGTAACAGCACCGCAGGCACCGCCTCCTGGTCACTCACGACAGCTCTGCTGGGGGCCCTCACTGAGCCAGTGGGCATTTAGAAGGTGGGGGAACGCGCCAACTGGGACCCTTTGGCAAGCCATGCTTTCAGCCTCCTCACTCGGTGACCTCGTAAACCACAGTCCTCAAAGGGACCAAACAGAGTGAGTTCATATGCTTCAATAATGAAGAAAAATAATCATTATCTCAGAAAATCCCAGAGAACTTCTAGGAAACAACAAAGGCTTGAGCCCACGTGTGAGACACCAAGCCTTCAATCCTGAAACACTCAGCTCTCATGCCACCAGCCCCCCGAGACGAAAGGCGCCCAGAACCTCAGGACGGGGCAGCAGCTAAGAGCCAGTGAAGCATCTGGGTGTGAATCCCAGCCCCACCGCTCATTAACTGCCCCCTTAGCCAATTACTGCCTCTCTCCTGAGCCTTGATTATCGCTGTTTAGAAGAAGAGATGATAATACCTGTCACGCAGGGCTATTGGAAGGGTTCAGTAAGATGTGTATATATCTGGCTTAAAACATCATCACTGTAACTACCATTTATTTTGCTTTGACTCTGTGCCCAGCACTAATCTAAGTGATAAGTAGAGAAGCTAAGTAGAGAATCTCTCATTCACCCTTCCCAATAATCATGTTACTGGTGAGGAGACCAAGGCTCAGTGTTTAGGAAGCTTGCCCATGGTCATAGAGGCAGGCAACCAGCAGAGACTTGAACCCAGATTCGAGCCCGGACAGCCCATCACTGCTGTCTGTGCGTTCACCCGGCTTCTCTGTGGCCTCTCACAAAATGGATGGACGTGTTTTTTAAGATACAAGACAGTTAATTATTGGTAGTTACCATTTCACTGGCCCCAGGACAGTTTTTCTTCCCCTCCCCCCAAAATAAACTTCCTATTACTTTTAGAGATGTCTTGAATATCTTTAGACAAAAACCTCTCTTGCATAAGCCCTAGAAAGCAAATACTAAATCAGGAGGTACCCGCGGGTCACTCTGGCGAGGGCCAGCCTATCTCCAATGAGCAGAGAAGAGAGGACGCAGAGGACCAAGAAGGCGTGAAGAGAGGGCAGACACACCCACCCTTTTGTTTATTTCTCAGCGTTGCCTGGAGCTGACCTTGGAACGCTTCCCGTTTGTGTTGACTCGGGAACATCGTTTGGGAAAAACTTTAATTTTCCAAAGCTTGCTGCTTGGTGCCAATGGTTTCTTATTCCCAAGAATAAAAATGCTAAAGGATTTTTTTTTTTTTCTTTCCAAAATGCCGCATGTCTCTAATAAAACTACAGACTTCTCTAAAGCTAGGTGGTTGGGCAACATCTAAAACATCTTAGCCCATAAATCAAAGTTCTCCGCGGTGACTTATCATAACCCCAATGTGTAAAACAGAAGCGACAAGACTATTCCTGTTTATTCCTAATCTTTCGGGACAGCTGCCACTTTTCAAGGGCTTCACAGCTTCTCCTGCTGACTTCTGCCAATCACTCCCCATAGGTGAGGGGGTCCGCTTCGTCCAGGCTCCCGGGAAACTCCAGGCTCTAGGGGCAGCTCTGCCTACCCTGCCATGGACGCCCTCACTTCAGCTAAAGAGCAAGAGCCTCTGGTCGGAACGTTCTTCTCTTGTAAAGAGAAGTTTATGGTTGTACACATGCCTCAAATTAAGTGTATTTTCCACATGATAAAAACAAGAGCAAATATTTATATAATGCTACCAGGGGTCAGGAACTATTCTAAGCGATACCCATAGATTTATTTTCATAACAACCCTATGAGCTAGTTGTTTGTTATCACCACTTTTTTCCCCCTCAGATTAAAAAACAAAAAAACTGAGGTTTAGTTTCAGTGACTTATTCAAGTTCACTCGGCTAAGAAATCGCAAAGCCAGGCTTTCCCTCAAGTAGTCCAGCTTCAGAGAACAAGCCCCTTCTCACTCCACTATATTACCGTTCTAACAACTTAGTGTTTTAAGAGTCAACTTACATTTAGCATGATTGCTGACTTTGGGTCGAATTCTTCCTAGAGTTCCTGGCACTAAAATAATATCATCCACATTAGTCAGGTAATTGCTCAAGAATTCTGTTCTATCACATGTGACATCTTCCATTCCTATAGGAAGGGGGGAAAAAGTATTTTCAGGCAATTATAAAATTAAAATCTCAACACAGACACTAAAGATAATATTCAGGCACAAGTGAATGTGAGGATCCCTCTCTTGAGATTTCTTAACTTGACTTTGGACTTTTTAGTGCTTCTTTATATAATCTTTTCACCAGACTTTTGATTGAGTCATATCATCTTGCAGCACTAGAAGGCTGAAAATGCATCATCTCAGTTACCATTTTAAGTCATTTAGCAAGAACAAGATAAAGGAAGCAACGATGATCTTTTTAAAAAAAAAAAAAGATCATTATGAAAAAGATAAATTCGTTTTAAAAAAAAAATCCCAAATCGCTTTAAACTCTTTCTAGCTGGGAGTGATGCAAATCACTGGTATGTATAGTCCTGTGTCTCTTTTACAAAAATCTCATTTTCCAACTCTCTCTCCTCGCTCTAATACATCTCCCGACTTGAGTGCATAAGCACCAGTCCTCATTCTGCCTTCACTGGTGGCCTTGGATGTTACCGACCAAACAGTACTGGAGACAAGAGAGAGAAGGAGAAAGGTCAGCCCCAGCGGCCACCCAAACTGGAGAACAGAACAGCACTGTGAACAATGCGGTCAGTTACCGCTGAGAGCTAGCAACTAGAGCACAAAAAGGGCCTAGGTAGCGGATTTTTTAAGTCAACAAATACTGTATCTGCCCACCAATGATTTGCTACCTGCCTCTCATCAAAAAAAAAAAACCAAAAAATTCCTTGATCAATGATAAAAAATAACTAAATAAAAAGAAACTCAAATTTTAGAATGACAAATCATGGAGGCTGGAAGAGAACTTTATTATCATTTCAGAATTTACGAGATGAGATGAAGCTGGAAAGGTTTAATATATTGCTTTGTACAATCCACTATCTGAATATTCTTTAAGAGGGGGAACATAAATGATTTTTTAAAGGATTCCCTAAGGTTCTGGAATAAACCGAGTGGTCCTGATCTAGTAAAATTTAAATTATCACCTTCTGGGATCCCAGATTCAAACCCCTTCCTTTTTTTAATACAAACTGGAAGGAAGTAACCACAATCTTCAAAGAAAAATCTATTTATACAGTCCTTATAAAAAAATATTTTAAAAAGCCCCAGATTGCTTTAAAATATAGATAGAAAAATATATTCCAACATAGCACAAGGGCTATAGATTTGCCTTTTAACATTTAAAATCTCTGGAAGAAAAATTAAAACAATAGACAGCTATATGTTCTAGTACAATGTCTACTAAGGACTTCCCAGGTGGCTCAGTGGTAAAGAGTCTGCCCGTCAACGCAAGAGACGCTGGTTCAATCCCTGGAGCGGGAAGATCCTCTGGAGAAGGCAATAGCAACCCACTCCAGTATTCTTGCCTGGAAAATTCCATGGAGAGAGGAGCCTGGTGGGCTGTATAGTCCACGGGGTCCCAAAGAGTCAGACGAATTAGACGTGACTGAGCAACTGAGCAGGCACGCACATACAGTGTCGACTAAACAACAGTGTTCATCCAGGAAGGGCAAGTCTCTAAGTATATATGAGTGCGAGACTAGAAAGATCTTCCATTTTCTACCTTTCTAAGTCACTTAAGCCACCCCAGTGGTGAAGCATCTCTCTTGCTTTCAACGTGCTTCTCAAGCCTCATCACCCTTCACCCTCCAGGCTGACTCTGGCAGTGGTGTTGGTGCTCTCATTCTACAAATGAGGAGGCTGACTTGGAGAGCCTTTTAAGTGGCATAGTGTAATTTGAACTCCAGTGCAACCCATTCTCACTCCAAAGCTCGGACTCTGAAACGCCAGACAATGTTACCTTCTAAGAAAGAGAAGCTATGCCGTCTATTCATTTCAGAAGGCTTCCCACCAGCAAGACATGAATTTTATCTAGCCAAGACTTTTACAAGGCTCCAGCAGTGACTCAATGGAACCCATCTACTTCTTAGACATCTGGCTCCACCATGTGACCAAATGTCCTTGACACCTCTGGACCACTTAAGTTGAATCAGCTGTGTCACAGGCTCCAAATTCTCTATCCAATCTGCAGCTCTCCAGCAAGTCAAACTCTTGGGGCACAGTTCTGCAGACAGTCACGTTTAGTCCCTGCAGAAGAGCAAGTTAATCCCAGGGCTCTTTTTTTTTTTTTTTTAATTCTCATAGATCTTCTAGAACATTCTGTAAAGAAAACTTCAGGCCCAGAGCAGTGGTTTGATTAGGGAGATTTATTTGCCCAATCTTAACAGAACCACCGGCTCAACCAATTTTCTTCTTCTAAACCCTCCTAGAAGGGAGCAGCCCATTTTCCAGAGTCACAGTCTCAAACTGTTAGTTCTGGAATGCAGGAGGCATTCTCTGGAACTCAGTCTGCATACCTGTGAAGTAAGAATGTTCTCTGATGCATCCCTCCCCCAGCTCTATCAACATACAATGTTTATGATGCTCTTGATCCATGAATTTTTCTCCTTTATACAGTGATTTAGAAAACTGCTTCCTAAACTGTTTCTTCCTCTCTTTAACAGTCATCTCTATTGAAACAGGGTCCTCTGGCTTGGGTCTAGAATTCACTCAGTGAATACAGGGAAATAATTTTCCTTATATGTCTCTTCTATAGCAGAAGGCTATGTCTCCACCTTTTCATCATGTTCAAATTTATTTTTTAGCCATGTGAATCATGTGAGCACCTTTTAGGGTTGTGACTAGCAGTGATATATCATATTCACAGAGGAAACTCTTACTATCACAAGGGAACTGTCTGCAACTGTTTTGTTTTTGGTTTTTTTTTCGCACTGCAAGACTTATGAAACTTAGCTCCCTGACCAGGGATTGAGTGAGCCTGGGCCCAGGAGTGAAAACGCCAAGTCCCAACCATTGGACCACCAGGGAATGCCCTGTAACTTTTTAATAAGAGACAGATTTTGTAAGAAAGGCTTTTCCTACAAAGACTAGGAAGATACAGGAAGTCCCTGGTTTTGATTGACATGAACGCAAGAGTAGTCTCAGCTCATCTCATAGTTTTGAGTCACGGTCCAATTTCTTTCCCCATCTGAAAGGAAGGGGGAAGGAAGAAAAGGAATACAACCTGGGATTTCTGGGATTCCCCAATACCACCAGAAACCTTATCTGCTTAGATAAAGAAACAGAGTTTTACCATGGTCTCCAACAAAGATGACATTCACACAGCGATGCAGCTTCAGTTGTTTCAGTCCGTCCATTAACTGTCCCACAGTTTTGTCAATGTCCCTCAGAGGATTCGTCATCTGGAAAAAGGAGCAAATTAGTCTCTGAAGGTTTTTTTTTCCCTTTCAGTATCTCAAAGATCTAAACATGCTGGAAAAAAAACCTCAGGCCCAGAGGCAGAGCTTTGTCTAGGGAGATTTTCCTGTCATTCTAAATGGAAACCTGGTCTAAGCGCTTTTATTTGTACACTTTAAGGAAAGTTAAACCTCTCCTCATCCAACCCCCTTCAAGATTCTTTGACACGAAAATTGAAATATTAAAGGCAATTCTTTTTTTAGAGATAAAATGGCCTTTCTAAAATATAACAGTGTCCTTTACGTCCAATAATGCTGAGAGTGAGCAGAAATGAGACGGACAGCTTGAGCCCCTTGACCCTGAAAGGGGATCACTTAGGCTGTGAGCCACGGCAAGGAGGTGGAGGCCAAGGGGTCAAAAGCAGCTCTGAGGCTAAACGGCAACCTTTCGCGAACGGTGCCAAACTGGAGCATCATTAACACGGTGAGACCCATCTAGTGCTCCAAAAACCTTAACTGCCAATTTCTGACACTAGGTTCTCAAGAGAAGGGCCTCTCCTGGGAAACAAGCTACTCCTTCTCGGTTTAGCCCCTTTCAGGCTGATCAGGAGCAAAATACGGATCTATAAGAGTCCAACCTTAAACAGAAGTGAGTCACTGAGCTTGTCCTAGAGAGTTTCTTATTTAGCCTAATGAAAAATGAAAGCTCAGTTCTCCAGAGAACATTTCCAAAGCGTAAGAATCATAACTCATCTCTCAAGTCCTTGCTTCAGATGGCAGTTTCTAACAGCAAGAAAGTGAAAGAGTTATTCACTCAGTCATGTCCAACTCTTTGCTACCCCATGGGCTGTAGCCTGCCAGGCTCCTCTGTCCATGGGATTTCCCAGGCAAGAATACTGGAGTGGGTTGCCATTCCCTTCTCCAGGGGGTCCTCCTGACCCAGGGATCAAACCGCGGTTTCCTGCATTGCAGGCAGTCTTTACTGTCTCAGCCACCAAGGAAGCCCCGTAGCATGAATGTCCCCATGTATTAGAGGTACTGGGGACGTCCCTCTCAGCTCTGGGCAATAGAGAGACTTTCAAGAAACACCCCATCAGCCAAACACCTGACAGTACTTTAGCCGACTCTGACAACTGAGCTACAGTCACACACATCTACTCAAGATGCCTCCCACAAGAACAGAAGGGATCCGCATATCTTCTTTCCTCAGACACATGATATTATCTTCCATTGGCATCTTCTCAGAGGACTCAGGATCTTCCTTCATATAATGTCATCAGTAAAGTCAAGGTGTAAATTTGTTTTCCTCTACGACAGAAGTCAGTATTTCAAATTCTGTCCCAAGGAGTAAGTCATGAGAGAAAGCTTCAGAGCGATGTATGCAGCGTAATCTGAAGAGACTAACGAGGGTGGACAGGGGTGTTTGCTTCTGAGGAAACCATGCTCACCTCTAAGGCCTTCATTTAAACAAAGAAATACCAAAGCACAACCTATATCAACCCCTGGCAACAGATTAATTTCCTTTGGTCAACAAGATGACTCAGGCTAAAACCCAGAACCTATTTCTCAGCGATCAGTTCAAACAATAAACTAGATAGTGCCTTGGCGGTATTTGAAGGTGTCTGGAAAAGTAACAGCCTTGAGGCTATTGTGAAGGTAATGAAGGGAACACGCTGCCCACATCTCTACAAGAAAACGCACCCACCTCTGCCCACCCATTGTCTCCTCTCTCCTTCCATTTCACCTCTTTCCGTCTATCACCTAAGACCGCCTCTGAACTCGGCACAGACTGCTAACCTAATCCCCTACTCTACTGAGCTAATCTACACCATCTTTGAGGATTTCCCCAACTACCTTGCTGGGTTGTTCTCAAGAACCAAGGTTACAAACTGTGACAAATTCTGTGGAAAAGTGCAAGCAAAACCAACAGCTCTCTTAACACTCGTTCAAGCCTAAATGTTCATATTAGTTTCGGGGCAACTAACTCTAAAGAAAGTAGAAGGGTGTTTGTTTTCAGCTGAGTTCAAGAACGCTTCACGTGAGTGCTAACCTCTGAAGCGCTACAGTTTTCTGGACTCAGAGCCAAGGAAGACACACCAAATGTTTTCTGAAAGGCATTCAGATGATTTTCAAACCAAGGCACTGAAGGGAACCTCCAGGGCTGCCCGCCACAAATCTTTGGAACAATAGATAAACTTACTTTGTCCTGACGAGCTTCCGCAGCATAATGATCCATCCTATGTACTTTTCTTCTTCTTTTCTTTGGAGGAGTAACTGGTCTTTCCTGTCTCCTCTTAGGGGTAACCTTCCTCTTAGGTCTCTTAGCCGGAGTAAAAGGTGAACCATAACTACTCTCCTGTACTGGCGGATAGAGATGTGTGGACTCAGAAGCCGTCTGTCCCTCTGGGTCAGATAATAAAGTTCACATTTTGCCATCTAGGCTCAGTGAAGTCTTAGTTAAAAAACAAAAAGCAAACTAAGACTCCTTCTGAAGTGATTAAAAAAAAAATTGTTATGAGGGGTGATTTGGGGAACTCTACAGAGAGAAGCCTCCTAAACTGAACTCGATGTTGCTGTCACAGCTTCTTCACTGAGAACAAAAATATAATTTAAGAGGACCTGGTCGTGTGATCTCTTTTGGCTGAGGAGCCTACTCGTGGATACACCTGAAGGTGACACAGAGTTCTGTATTCCACAACTCCTGCGTCATGGAGAGGCTGGTCCTTGGTTATGAGAAACTCTCCATTTATAAAGTACTCGCTGAAAAATAAATACTAATCACTCAGTCATTTCAAGGTGCAAAAGGACTCATGGATGTAGTTTCAATTCAGATTCGGACAGGTATCTATTCAGACCACCAAATATATCCATGCAACTGTCACCTTCCTTGGAAAGGATCAGGAAAAAAATTTAAACCAAGGATGAAATGAAACATAAATACCAAACAATCCTCCTTGGTCATGAATATACCGATATTTCCACAAATCAGGAGAGTTTCCCACTGATAATTTGGGTTTCTGGTAGAGAGGAACTCTAAGCCAAGAAATAATCATCAATAGAACTGTCATTTAAAAAAAAAATTCTCTCATAAAATTAGATAAAATGGAAAAAGTCATCAAGATCTTTTTGTCTTAGTATATTTATATCAAGAAAGAGTCTACTTATCCTCTTTCTGTTAGAAATTCCCCTCTTGGTAGTGGTCTGGAAGGTAGCGACTGCACTAAGCATCTTGTTTTGAACATCTCTTGGGTGGTTAAGGCTGATACGTAAACTGAGGAAAGATAACATTTTCGGACTTCCAAATGCTGGAGAAAAACAAGCCCCTGATTTGCGGATGGTGCAAAGGTGACTTAAAGCAGCAAGGCCTGCCGTCCACCTAGCTGATTTCTCTCGGGGGACTGTTCTGAGAATCATTCAGATGCAAGAAGGGGCAAAGGAGGGGTGATGTTAGTGTGTCCCCGGGACGCGTCTGCCATGCGGTGTCGCTGTGTCCAGAGCAAGCACTGCAGAGACACTGCTGTCCCATCCTCTCTCCCACGGAGGATGGACAGACACAGCACCTCCCCAGACTCTGGTTTGGTGTGCTTGCTTGTTTTTAAATGCTTCCAGTTTAGCCAATTCCCCAGGAGATGAGAAGCAAAAGGAAACAGAGAGTTTACCATTTCATGGTCACCAAACACATTCAGCTAGCGCTCAAGTCTGCCCATCAGACACTCGGCCATTTGCAAGAGACCTCAACATTCCAGAGACTCCAGAGGCGAGCCCTTCCAATCGCGGGGGTTAGAGGAGCAGCAGGGGGTTTAGTCAAAACGAGTTTCCGTCCAGGGATCATACGGCACGCGTTTCCTCCTTCAAATGTTAGAGGTAGACGCAAGCTAAGTTTTCACTGACCAGCCATACTTTAGTCTGACTTTAGAAGATTGAGCCTGAGGTTATTAAAAGGACGGGAAGGAGAGGGGGCAAATTTCCCTGCTTTTCAGGAGGATACTTTGCCGTCTGAAGGTGGTAACTAGCCAGCCAAAGCTCTGCCTCCGGGCCTGAAGAGCAGCCGAACCAAGAGTCACGGAGAGAAGCACAGAAGGTCAAAGGTTACGCCAAAAACCAAAAGCAAGCATGTTTTCAGAACATTCACCATTACGCTTTGAAACCAGGAGTGATACACCACTGCCTGGAGCTACACGCCCCACGTGCGGTCATCTCATTTAATAACCTTTGCGAATCATCCTGAAAAAAGTATACTCAAATATCAGGCGAAGAAAGCACAAACGTCGGCTGTACTGGAGCAGACGACATGCTGCCAGATTGAAACAGTCTGATTGAATTTCAGACGCAAGGTATGTTCCCAATAGACGTAAAAGACAGCATGTTACTGATTTCAACAATAATCTTTCAGCCAGTATAGTCTTTGTATGCTCAATAAAGACAAGTGAGAAATATATATTATGAGGTAGATAAACCAATTCTGTCTACCACACACACAAAACGAGGTTTTTCTGGCTTTGGCTTCATGTTTGAAAAGTATAAACTGTTTTGTGTTTCTCTCAGTAAAAAATAAGATTTCTAGAACCAAATGAGAATTAGTTGAAATCTGAAAATACCCCTTTCCTCTTAAGGGAAGAAAGTGATTAAGTTCTCAGGTTATCGTAACAGAAGGTACATTCCAACATCTCATCATAAATGTTTTACCCCGTGGATATATGAGAATATCCCAGTTATAAGAAGCATTAATACTAAAAAGAATATAGCAAGAATCCTTCTAACTCTCAATTCAGAAATACTCAGGAAAAAAAGATTTATATGTTTATGAGAATCCTAAACCTAGAACCATCATTACAGCTAATTAAAGCATCCTGTATTATGCTTTATTTATCACTGCTCAGTACTTTAAAAAAACTTTTAATTCATTTCTCGATGAAAACACACATACACTTTCAAGTAAGTAATTATAACTTAACTATGTATATGAGAAATCCAGAGATGTTTGTGGATAAAGAACATTCATTGCTGAGCCTTATAACTTTTAAGGAAATGAAAATTATAACAGTTACACCTTCTGTGTATTGTTAAAAAGTCACCTTTTTACATAAAGAAAACGTTCTGTGCGGTTTGAACATGGCTGTTAATGGATTACTTTGCTTATCTCCCGTACTATAGGAGAGTTTAATGGTTCTCTGGTCTGGGAGTCAGAAGTTACATTTCCAAGTATACTTACCAGCCAAGCAACTGGAGCAGCCCTCCTAAAGTACCAGCCTCTTGCTTTTTAAAGAATGGCTATACCCAGCTCTGTTTGCCTCTGTTACAGAGTCTTTTAGGGATACTATTATCCAAGCAAAAGTGAACCTTTAAATAGGGCACATGGAACTGCTTAGGGCTTGGTGTGTGTTTTTTTTTAACATCTTAAAAAAATGCGGCTCCTTTTGTTCACTTCAGATTAATCTCAAAGAAAATCATCCTAAGGATAAAACGGCCATGCTTGCTCTGGGAAAAATAAGTTCTGTGTTTCATGTATGCAGATGTTTGTCTCGTTTTATCATTTGTGTTTCATAATCATGTGCAGCGGTTAAACATCAAAGGAATAGGAAAAAGAACATTGAACTTACATGACTTCAATGATTTAAGGCAAACTAAGAATGGGTTCACATAGCCGCTAGTTTCCAGAGCTTAGAGAAATCACCACTGAACTGATGCTAAAGCATTCAGAAGTATTTATGGTTCTCAGTATTTACTGCCTTTGTTTAAACATCCTGCATTTTGATCAAAAATACTTAAGCCAAGACATACTTATCTGTATTTCCTTAGTCATTCTTATGCTGAACATGAGAAACTTAATTATAGCCAACAGTGCTGCCATTGGCTATCTGAGAACAGGAGGTATTTTCCATCATCGAAGAGTTTGTGAAATTATTTCTCATCCAAAATCAAGTTTTATTATGTTGATGTAGACTTCAGCACCCCAGGAAGAAAGAGTGGTGGAAAACATTTAAAATATTAAAAGATTTAGATTCGCAAATCCCAGCATATTTTTAAATGATCTATGCTGAAGTACTTGGGAAATTTCCATCACTTGATAAAAGAGCAACATAATAAAATCTCACCATGCCTTTTCCACCTCCAGAATTTGAAGTTCTCCAGCATACTACCTTACAAACTGACCTACTACAATTCCCGAGTGTTTGCTATAAGGGTGTCACACTGCTTTGCTAAACAGATTCATTCAATAGTGTTTTTCTTGCAATTGAGAATTTGTTTCACTTTAGGGGGTGAGGGATACGTTCATAGTCTTGATCCTGGTGATGCTCTCACAGGTATATACCTATGCCAAGATTCATCAAACAAAAAGTGCCCAGTGCTACAATGTTTTCCAGGTCACCTGCACCTGCAAAGGCTACTGAGCTGACCTAGCCTCTCTGACCCGCACTGCCTTTCTAAGGGAGTTGAAATTCAGTCGCACGGCCTTGCATTGCAGGTTGCATCTCTAGATTCTTTTCCACTCCTATCCCGGTGACGGCAAAGGGCAGCCCTTCCCGGTCCTTCGTCTTCTGACTGATGCCTGCAGGACTGGAACCTATGAACACCAAGTGGCTGGAATATATGAACACCAAGCTGGAAGATAGGAACACCCTCCTATGAACACCAAGTTTAGGATATGCTTGCATAACAAATCAATCTGAAATGAAGTTCCTGTAAGAAAAACAGGTATGTTTAAGATTCTTTTAAATGTTTTCACTCTTGTAGTTCTTTGACTCTGTATCTACCGTACACACACCAACACGCTAAGAGACTTTGTGCAAATCCTGAAATCAGGTCAGTAGACGAGGCGGCCCAGGGACACAGGCTCTCAAGCAGAAGATAAGCTACTAACCTCAGGGCCAAAGGGGCCATACTTGTGTCCAGAGAAATCAGGCTGTTCGGAATAGAAGGCATATACTGAAGGCCTACGGGAAAATTGGAAGGTTCAGAATCTCCCCCAAACCACACACAACAAAGAACATCACTTATCCCTACACATCACCAAAACATCCTTGCAAATCGAGTTAACCACCCAACCACTGTTAGTCTTACCATGAAAAAAGTCTCTTTCTTGTTTTTTTTTTTTTTTTCTGTTGTTTTCTATTATTTCCACATCCACCACCCTCTACACCACCCCCACTGTGGCAACTACCCGGTTACTACCTTCAGAAATAAAAACTCACGAGGAAAATCTGAATGCAAACTCAGGTCTTTGATCCCTAAAATAATAGAACCCAGTGAGAGTTCACAGGGCCATGCAATCTGCAGCCTGAAAGAACAGCTCCATTCAAGTGAAAATAATCAGTCTTTTGGATTGGGAGTTTGGGATTAGCGGATGCAAGCTATTATCTACTGAATGGATAAGCAATCCTTACTGCTTATATAGGACTGTTTATATGTACACCACGGGGAACTACAGTCAACATCCTGTGACAAACCATAATGGAAACGAATATGAAAAAGAATGTGTGTATATACACATACATATAAAATGCATACCTGAGTCACTGTGTTATGCAGTAAAAACTAACACACTGTAAATCAACTACACGTAGATAAAATAAAACCTTTCCAAAAGTCAGTCTTCGTGCTTTCCCAGTTCTTGGGATGCTGCTGGTTTATTTACCAAAGCCAAGAAAGAACTCCCTTGAGCTCTGCTGTGGTGACCAGGATTAATACCTGGAGTAATTAGCGTAATTGAACTGTCCTGTCACCTACATCCACTGTGCCCTAAATCCCTCTTAGGGAGGTCGCGTTTAAGGCTCAGAACTGCAGAACCAGTAACAGCGGCAGACCTTGGCTGTGCCCCCACTGCACAGCCCATGGAGGTATTCGCCCAGTTCCACCCCGAGATAGAAACGCACTCACGCAGGAAGGGAGCCGGGGAGGGGGGCAGATACCTTTCGTGGTCCGGCAGGGTCAGCCACTGCAGGATGGTCAGTATCCTCCGCTCGTGAGGGATCACCCTGTGGGGCAGCAACCAGCAAGCGTGAGGTCAGGAGGCATCGCTACGGACTGCAGCCTGCCGAGCGCCTGCTCCTGCACCCAGGCCAGCGGCTCTCTACTTACCACATCTGTTTCCACTTCACTGAGTAAAAGGTCCCTTTTCCAATTAGTGTTTAAATGTCCATTTCTATTTGCAACAGGTCATGTTGCTCAGCCTCGGCCGCAGAAGACAAGACTGGAAACTGATTCACAGTCAAGTGAAGAATCTGCCTTGCTCACAGAGGCCTGGCCACAGACGAAAAGGACCCCGGCCTCGGAACCCTTGCTATCGAGGGGGTAAAGCCATTAGCTGTGGCCGCCGAGGGGCCGGGGCTCGTATCCCCGGTCTGCCTTCGGCTAGCGTGGCCTCTCTTGACCTCCAGGCTTCTTTGACCTCTCAGCCTCAGTTTCCTCACCAGTAAAATAAAGACAGCAGTAACACACACTGCACAGCTCGGCTGTAAGGATGGAATGAGGCAGGATAGGCAAAAGGCATGCACAGTGCTTAGCACATAGTAAGCGCTAAAAAATGTTCTTATTTTCATTAACGATCAAGATTAGTCACCATGCTATTTCAAAATAGCTATAAGACTTAAGAAACATTGTTGAATCTGAAACTTTAAGTTCCTCATCTATAAAATAAGGGGTTAGGAAAGGTATTCGGGAAATTCTCTTCTAGCTCTATAAAAAATCTATCAAGAATAGGCACATATAATTAGGAGACTGACGAAAAGGGTATAATCTTCATCCACAATGACTTTGTGTTTAAGTCTCATGCCTCTGTTGAAATATAATTACCCTCAGTCTGGCACTAGTTTCAAGAGCCCTCGGCTAGCATGATAGCACTGTATCGTGGGCTGACTTAGTTACATTATGATGCTCACAAGCTGAGTGATGTCTTTATGGGGAATTTTGCTTATTCTTTCCTAAAAAGAAGCATAACATACTTTTCTGCCCCCTCATCCAAGATCAGACATTGGAGCGTGTTTACAGTAAATTTAAACTGAAGCCCAAATTTAACTGTGGATAGTAAAAATGATTGTGGCCAAGAGTGAACCTTAATGTAAACTGGTTTCTGGGTGACAGTGATGTGTCCATGGAGGTTCCTCATTTGTGACCAGGGTACCACTCTGGTGGGGGATGTTGGTGCTGGGGGAGGCTGTGCCCGTGTCGGATGTGGATGGAGGTATTGGGTTGGACAAAAAAATTGTTCAGGTTTTCCCCTAAGATATTATGGAAAAACCCGAATGAACTTTTGGGCCAAGCCAATATATGGGAAATCTTTGCTCCCACTGTTCAGTTTTACTGTGAACTTAAAACTACTCTAAAAAATTAGCTATTAAAAATGTATCATGGGATACTGGGTGAGCCATTTCAGCTTTCAGTCTTGGTAGACACGAGCATGGGCTAGCCGGGGGAAAGACAGAACTTCAGAGTCACGGCTAGCGTTGGCAGCTCCACTCAGCAACCTCCCCCAGAATCTGCCCCCTCCCGCCCCCATCAACACCACCCTTCCCTGAGAGACGCTGGGTCTGCCATTCCACTCTCTGACCACTTCTCTGTCTAGAACTATCCTACCAGCCCAACAAAATCATGTTTGCCATAAAACAAGTTCTCATTTACACAAATTCCAATGCTACTGAATAAGCGTGATCTTGTTTATTATATCCTATAATTGAACTAGAAGTAGGCAAAGCCAAGCCAGGTTAATCGCTTGAGGTATTTAATTCCTCAGCCTTAGAAATCCCCTGTATCTGAACAAAATAATTACATATTTTGAATTCTTTCCTAACTTAAAAGAAAAGCGAGTATCGTGGTCTTTTCATTGTGCCTTACTTCACTACCTACCTACAAGCTGCTTTATTTTACGTAATTGGTGTTAAGTCACAAAGATGGATTCTGAAGGACTCACTTGATGCTAATAGAAAAATACAGATTAACAGAATTTGTTTCAAGCTCAGACTGCTCACCCTTTAAATGCCTTCTTTAGACGGGGTACTTGACAAGTAGGGGAAGAAACATCAGCTCTGAGGTTTACACTGGTGATGTGACTTTGGCAAGCTACTTAACCTGCTGTTGCTCTATAAAATGAGCTGTCTTACAAGGTGGTTGTAAGGATTAAAGCACTCAGAGGCGTGTCTGGCACATTGAAAAATGTGGGCTTCTATCGTTATGGACTGGATTCGTGTGTGTGTCAGTCGCTCAGTCGTGTCCGACTCTGTGCGACCCCGTGGACTGCAGCCCGCCAGGCTCCTCTGTCCATGGAGTTCTCCAGGCAAGAACCCCGGAGTGGGTTGCCATTTCCCTTCTCCAGGGGATCTTCCCGACCCAGGGATTGAACCCGGGTCTCTTGCACTGCAGGCAGATTCCTTACCATCTGAGCCACCAGGGAAGCTCTGGATTCACGGGCCCACAGAAATGATACGCTCACTCATGAAGTATCTGTTAAAGCACATTACATTCAAGGCATTTGTGTGAATATAATAAGGATACAAGACGTTCCTACCAAAAAAAACCCGATACAGAAGAGTTGCCATTCTCTGCTTGGAGAGAGAAGCAGGTGATCATCCTTCTCTGGGCGAGGGCATGCGTGTGGTAAGAGCGTGAGATGAGCATGTGGGGGCCTGAGTATCCACTGAAACCATAACCTTAGCCACAACACTTTACCTGTCTAAGCCTTGGCATTCTGATCACAGATGTGAGGAGTCACACAGAATGGTCTCCGAGTTTCCCTGTAGATCTAAGACTGCCTTTATGAAAAAGCCTCAGAGACTAGAAAAGACACGGCCCCTAGCCATGAATGTTTAAAATCTGATGCAGACACAGTACAAACAGATCTGACAAAGGAAGAGTGTACTCCAAACAGAAAGGGATTCATGCAGTTGTCTTCACCATTACCAGTTGATACAGGGTTTCTCATGTGACCAAGCACATTAGACATGTTACAAGAAGAAAAGGAAATAGGCAAAAAAAAGGAAAATGAACTAGATGAGGTATTCAGTGTTAAAGGGGAACAAATTACCTTAGGTCATACATAGATAGCCGTTGTCTGGTCATTGTTGAAAGAGATAATGTGAATAAGAAAGCAAGTACCATTTGTTGGCTATTCTCTATGTACTAAGTACCCTCCTAAGGACTCTAAGCAAGTTAATTCATTCTATCTTCATGACTCCCTAGGGTGAAGACACTATCACTCCCATTTAAAGACGAAGACATTGATTTGTCAAGCGATTAAAACATTTGTCCAAGGTCAGCAACCTGCTGAGCACCAGAGTTGGGACTGGAATCAATCCGACTCCCATACATAAAGGGAAGCACTGCTCTGAGCATGAGTCGATGGTAAAGAACGTAATGGAGACACAGCTGAGCGTGATTCTGAAACGAAATACTATCATTTGAAAAGCAAGGCTAATTCTGGGTTGCAGAATGGAACCAGGTTAAAAAGATGACTTTCAAAGTCCAAGTCTATGGTTTGAATCTGCTTAAATTTGAAAATTTTCAGTATGGATGATGTGTAGATTTCCTTGACATATATTCCAGTAAATACCTGGAAGTGTGACCTTTTTTTTTAAGTTCTAAAGACTTTTTTTTTTTTTTAAAGAAAGAAAGAAAATGAATCCAAGTCACTTCCAGGATACAGAGATAAAGGAAGAATAGTCTGAGAAGCAAAGCAAAACTACAGACGTCTTTGGAGCACACAAAAGCTACCTTCTTGTAAGGTCTGAAATGGGTGGAGAAAGTCACCATTCAGAACCAGAACACTAAGCCTTTTCAATGAAGCGCTGCAGCAGTTTCGGGGGGTAAGGGTGAGGACTGAGTATTAATTATACTGTTGGTGCCTCTCCGTTCTGCCAGCCAAGTATGTTGTGGAGAAGAAGAAATCACTTCTAAAAGCATCAAGGACAGCCAAGGGTTAAAAAATGTTATGCATAAGATTAAGCTGGTAAATCAACATGTCACTTCTACCATGCACATTTTCTCAGCCAAGAAGATCTCTTTTTAAAAAGGGGAGCGGGAGACTCTTAAGGGACACTGTCTGTCTTAGCTTCAAATCACCAAACCCAATTTCAATTTAGCACTTCAAATCTGAAAAAGCTACCTTTCTTCCTGAATTTTGAGAATATAGATGGTACCATTCTGGATTAATCTGAACCTGTGATTGCTCTCAGCACTCTACTATTACAGAATAGTCAGATTTTTGTTACGGCATAAGAGGCAAATATGGAAACAGCTTTAGGTGGTTTAAAAAAAAACAAGATGGAAAGAACGTCTCAGTGGGAACAAAATTCCCATGAAAGTTGAAACAGATTCTTTCTCTTACTAAGGAACCTCAAACATAATCAACATGTTGACACTTTTATTAGGTAAGTTTCATCTTAAGACTGTTTCATGAACATTAACTACTAATCCGCCCCATCACCTCTGTGGGGAAGAGAAGCAGTTTCTTTTCTCTTATTAAGGAAACCCTGGAGCTCAGTAGGAAAATGAGGGGGAAACAGAGAGTTCCTCTTGGTCTCCTGTCTGAAGTGTCCAGTCTCTGGACTACTAATCAGCTGTTCAACAACACATTTGATTTTTAAAGCTGTGAACCAAAATAAATATAGAATGTTGTAATACATTTATAGAAAATGATAACTCAAATCACAGCGATAAATAGTTTGAGAAATATACATTCCCTAGGTGCCAAGTTACCAAAAATCTACAAACAGGAACAGAAGACTCTAAGGGATGACTAGACGTAGAAGAGAAAAATCTTCCTTCCATTCCATTAAGAAAAGGTGAGGGGAGAGAGAGAGAGATGGGGGAGGGAAAGAGAATCGAGATGGAAGAAGAGAGAGAGGATCCGCCCCAAAATACCTGGAGGGTTATCTTGAGTTAGAAGGTACTAACATTTACATTTAAATGAAATCAAATTGAATGAGTGTGTCTTAAACTAAATCATAACTGTAATTTTACAAACAGTGACAAAATAGAGGTAACTTACACAGGCCAGAAGAATGTCCCAGCGTTCACCCCTTGCTTCGTGGCTGTAATCCATAGCTAATGAGGAAAATATAAGAGGCTTAGAACATGTTTTGACTTTTGGTCAAAGAAGAAAAAGGTTTTAAAATATATTAGCTCAGACATCTTAAACTTTACCCATACCCTACCATAAATCTCCCAATATTTGCAACTTTTTTTTTCACATCTGGAAGTCAGAATTATTCTTTCCATAAACGTTATTCAATACATTCTCTGCAAAAGCTTTCAAGCTCTGCTATGATTATAGTGGCTTCAAAAAAAGCAACCCTTATTTCATCTCAAGAGTCTCTTCTGTACCTGTCCCTTCTGATCATCATTTTGAACATTTCACTTTTATGGCAGAATTCTGCTCATCAAAGGACCTCAAGTGACCGTATGTTTCCTTGACTGTTGAAAGCCTGGAGAGAACCCCAGTTTGGCACACAGATGCCCAGACTGCGGAACCCAGCTTTGCCTGATTTTATACTCAGGGAGGTGAATGAAATAGGGCTGGGGAGGAAGATTATTTTTTATCCTGGATTTCTGCTTGCACCTTTTACTTAGCCTTTTAGTAAATGGAACTTTAGGAGTGAGTTCCTAGGGTAAGTTAGGTGACCCAAGCATGTCATTAAGTCTACTAAAATATTCTTTTCAGGGACTTCCCTGGTGGTCCAGTGGTAAAGATTCTGCAACTCCGCAGCAGGGGGCGTGGGTTTGATCCCTGGTCTGGGAACTAAGATCCCACATACTCCATGGTGTGGCCAAAAATATGTAGGTACATGGATAGAGTGTATATAACACATACAAATATGTAGATAGATAGAGTATATATAATACATACAAATATGTAGATAGACCGTATATATAATACGTACAATATGTAGATAGATAGTGTATATATAATGCATACAAATATGTAGATAGAGTGTATATATAATACATACAAATATGTAGATAGAGTGTATATATAATATGTACAATATGTAGATAGAGTGTATATATATAATACATATGAATATGTAGATAGAGTGTATATATAATACGTACAATATGTAGATAGATAGAGTATATATATAATACATATGAATATGTAGATAGAGTGTATATATAATACGTACAATATGTAGATAGATAGAGTGTATAGAGTCTATATGTAGATAGAGTGTATATATAATACGTACAATATGTAGATAGATAGAGTATATATATAATACATATGAATATGTAGATAGAGTGTATATATAATACGTACAATATGTAGATAGATAGAGTGTATATATATAGAGTGTATACATATGAATATGTAGATAGAGTGTATATATAATACATACAATATGTAGATAGATAGATAGAGTGTATATATAATACATACAAATATGTATACACATACATAGTACCTGGGCTTCCCAGGCGGCACAGTGGTAAAGAACCCGTCTGCCAATGCAGGGGACACAGAGACATGGGTTCGATCTCTGCATCAGGAAGATCCCCTGGAGAGGAGGACATGGCAACCCACTCCAGTGCTCTTGCCTGGAGAATCCCATGGACAGAGGAGCCTGGCAGGTTACCGTCCATAGGGTTGCAAAGAGTTGGGCACGACTAAGTGACTCAGCACACACGTGTACACAATATATGTCTACATATGTATGTGTATATGTGCTTTCCAGCTCATGCTGTGGGGGAGAGAAGTTATGGCAGTTAAGAACCTGACCGTGGGGACTAGTTACTTGGATTTTATGCTTTGCCTCTGTCACTTACCAGCCATGTGATCCTCCAGGAAGCTAAGGCTTCTACATTTCTTTAAAGTGTAGATAATATTACCGAGCACATGGGATTGTTCTAAGCTGTAATGAATTAACATGTGTAAAGTCCTTACAAACATTTGGTAAACCTGGATCAATTTTCATCGTAATTATTACACAAGAATGGATATAAATATAATCGAGTTATTTCAGGTCACTGAAAACAACTTAGGACGGCCTGTGTCCCGCTGGACAGAAGTCTGGGAGAAGAAACCCCTTCACTTGAGGAGGCAGGAAAAAGAAGTGTGGTTTGGCTTTTCACAAGACCCCAAACAAAAACGGTCCAGGAATTGCGATCCCCCTCCTTCCTGGTTTCAACGTCTCCACATTTTGACAGTGTTTTATTTACTCTAGTTAAAACTTTTGTTTTGGGGGGAAAGGGGCAATTTGGAGGTGTGGGGCATGCAGAAGTTTGGCCACAGTTTCAGGAAGGCCAGGAACACCTGGCCGAGGAGAATCACGCGAGGACTCCCAGGCCCTGGGGGAGCACCGCAGACCCCCAGCTCCCACAGCAGAGCAGCCGCAGCTGGCGAGCGAGGGGCAGGTAGGGGCAGACACGCTCTTAGACTCCCGGAGGCCCAAGCTGCCGGCAGGCATCGTCAGCAAGAGAGAAGGGCCGTCCTCGTCCCGCAGGGATGGACCAGAGAGGTCAGGACCTCAGGCCGCGCTGAGCTCCACCCAGGGGGTTGGTCCGAAGCACCCGTCGGACACAACTGAAGCGACTTAGCACACACGCACGCATCTTCCACTCTACAGGCCAACTCCAGCTTATCCCCAGGCCAATGAGGACTCAAGGGGGTCCTCATTCACTCATTCATCATTCATCCTCGTGCCAGCACCTCCACGAGCAAGAAGATGAACTCAAACTGAGTGCTGGACATCCTGCAGGTGCCTCAAAACCACCTCAGATTCCAGACAGGTCTGTTTCTGATATTGCACTCAGTCGTGTCCGACTCTTTGTGACCCCATGGACTATAGCTGCCAGGCTCCTCTGTCCATGGGATTCTCCAGGCAGGAACACTGGAGTGGGTTGCTGTGCCTTGCTGCAAGGGATCTTCTTGGCCCAGGGATCAAACCCATGTCTCTTGTCTTTCCTACCTTGGCAGACGGATTCTTTACCACGAGCACTATCTGGGAAGTCTTTTTTTCTTATAATAAGTGATCTTTTTGCATACTTATTTTCATTTCAGAGACATAAGCTTAATGCATCATAGTCAAGCAACTTCCTAAAAAATCTGGTGCCTTATTTCCAAGGAAGTTGTATTAAGCAATATTTGGTAGACATGAAGTGTAAGATAAATCTGGGGTTTTCTAATGGAATTTTTTTTTTAAATACAGTTTTGTTAAGAGATGACCCTACACTTTCAGAAGCTATCTTGTGGGATACATGCTGAGGTTGGCATTATCTGAGCAACAGAAAGCCCTATGAGTAACTTTTAGCTTCCTAACCCTCGGGGGAAAGATCACCAAAGGAGTCTTCACAATGGTATAAAAAACGGGAACTGGGAGGGATGACAGATGTGTGTTAAAATTATCCTGGTGGCAAAATCAGGATTGTTGGTTCTGTATACTTTTCTGTACTTAAAATTTTTGCAGTGACAACATCTCGGTAATTAGAGAAAAAAAAATTAACCAATTGTTAAAAAAAAAAACAATGACAATGTGAACTACGAAGACAAATTAAAGGTAAAATTTTTTCTTTCTTTCTTCATTTCTTTCAAGAGAAGTGATTTCTCCCTGCTCCTGGTAAAAGTCATGTTGGCCATATTTTCTAAAAGAAAATTGGGAGACTGACCAGAAAAGTGCAAAAAGTGAACAAATAAGAGAGAATACTTGAAATTTAGAAAAAAAGTTTTTTAAGTCTCAAAGGAAAGAATCCTAGCAGTAATGAAGCTGGTCTGTCAAAGATCTGGCCAACAGTATGAGACTGAATGCATAAAGTTTCTGAAGTTAAATCAGATCATGAGCAGCTATAAAAGTTCCTTTGCAAGTTATACGTATATATTATATTTCAGAACCCTGAAGTTAAATCTAGTAATTACAGAGGAAAAAAAGTGCAGTAAAATGTTGGTCCAAAGGAAGATACATGAAAAGGAGCCTCCTGAGCTATAAAAGTGGGGGAGAGTCACGAAACAGACATCATAAAACTAGTTTCTCATTAATTCAGAGAAATGGAAATCATAATTTTTCATTTCCCACTGGGAATCTGAAAGTAATATACATTTCCTCAGAGATGAGTCAAACTACACAGCTTGAAAAAAAATTAGCTAAGAAGACACCCAGTTTGGCCTTCTGACCTTTAATCCGAGTATTTCTTCCTTTACTTTGCTTTATCTAGAGGCACAGTTTTCAACATTTGTGTCCTAGAGGCTACGTTTTGAAAAGGGAATAAATGGGAATATAAATATTGTACCTTCTTGATATGTTATCGGAATTAAAAAAAAAAACTTTCCCGCTGGGACCAGGAGCATTTAAATGCAAAATCTAACACTTTCTCAAATTCAGTAGAATATGCAGCTGTGGAAGAAGGGAAGGTGTTTTCAAAAGGAAAATAAGCAAAAAAACATTTTTGAAAACTATGAACTACTATTGTAGTCTTCCTAGTAGTTCTCTGCAGGGAAACTATTTTTTTTGCATTCCAAAGCACAGAAGTAGAAGAAATGGAATTCTGAGAGACCAGAGGAATGGCAGGGCCCTAGTATCAACGGGAGTAAATCAGTCACTGAGACTCAAGTGTCAGAACAGGGCTTCCCTGGTGGCCGGGTGAATAAGCATCCACCTGCCAACGCAGGAGACATAGGTTTGATCCCCAGTGCAGGAAGATTCCACGTGCCGAGGGGCAGCTAAGCCCGTGTGCCGCACTACTGAGCCTGAGAGGCTCGCTCTGCGAGAGAGAGAGAGGCCACCACGAGGGGAAGCCGGGTGCGGCCCAGAAGCGTCCCCACGGCTCACAGCGAGAGAAAGCCGGACGCAGCAAGAAGACCCCGTGCAGCCAAAACAAATTAAGTTTTAAAAACAGAGTCAGAACAGACTAAAGATGTGAGGGCTGGGGATGCCGTGGCAGAGATCGTGAGCCAGTGCGGCACTCCCCAGGGGATGAGGGCCAGAGAAAGTGAGTGATGAGATTCAGGAAGAAGTATAGACGCCTTAGACGGAGGTGCAGAGCAAGCTCAGGCCTGGTAAACAGGATGCCTAGATGAGTCAGGCAGCGGGTTGGGTCCTGAGAATAGAGAGAAATGATCAAGTCTCTGCCCTCGTGGGCTCCATAGACTAAAGCAAATATCTGAGTAATTTCAAATGATGTTGTCATAATCATGATAGAAATAATACAAAAACCCAAAACAGGGTCCCTGAGCTTATTAAGAGCTGAGGAAGCTTAGTGAAAGCGTCTTGGGAATGGATATTTCAAATGAAATTTAAAAGAGAGACGAGCATAGTAGGCAAGGGGTTGGGGAGCAGGGTCTGTTCTAAGTACACTATGATACAGCAAAAAGAGAGAGAATACAGATTTATAGCATAGATGGAAAAGAAGCAACAGAATAAAGAAAAGGTAGCTTTCCTGGGGAAAAAAAAAGTCACCTGTTAGCAACATAATAAAATAGAGAGGTAAGCCAAGACTAGCGCCATCAAGGCAATCCCTTTGGCCTGGAAGTTTACGACTATTCTAATGTCATTCTTTTCTTTGCTGTCTCTTTCTTGAACTTGCCATCTATCTTGCATTCTTGAAAAAAAGTGGAAGTGTTAGTTGTTCAGTCGTGTCCAACTCTTTGTGACCCTGTGGACTGTAGCCTGCCAGGCTCCTCTGTCCATGGCATTCCCCAGGCAAGGGTACTGGTGTGGGTAGCTGTGACCGTCTTCGGGGGATCTTCCCGACCCAGGGACGCAATCCGCATCTCCTACACTGCAGGCAGATTCTTTACTGTCTGAGCCTCCAGAGAAACATCATTATGCTGCAGTAATTCACGAGGATGGTCTCAGGACCAACTTATTGCGTTACCAAAACTAGGCAAAAACCACTGTAGGCCCAGCAACTTGAGGAGTAATAAGAACACAACGAACTAGCAAATAAAACAAGAAAGAAGCAGACTCACTGATATAAAGAACAAACTAGAGCCTGGACACCGCTAAGGGGGGGGGGGGGGTACTGTAACAGTGGAAAAACGGAGAAAAAGAGGGATTATGGGATTATATGAAGTCATGTGTGTGAAACTTGTGAGCACTGTAAAGCAAGATTTACGGAATCTTGTTTTCAATTCAAAAATTGAAAAAAAAAGAATGCATCCTCTCGCCTTAGAAGTGCTTTCCTCCAGAAACTCTGGCTTCAGAGAACTTGCACCATGATGGGGGCCAACCTCATCTCTCAAATCTCCACACTGAGTGGGTCCCTTGGAGTCTCAATGACTCTCTGCCTCACTGAGTCCAGCTTTAAACCAAACAGGGAATTTTTCCCCACCAAGACATCTCAGTATTAGAAACAGCAGAATGAGAGCAGAGAGATTTTTCAAAGAAACAAACGCACTTACGGCACTCCATTAAGACTATGGAACATACTTTTGTCATGAGAAAAAAGTAAATAGCTTCAAAACAACAATATAAAAAGGAATCCCATTATAATACATGTAGGAGGAATACGGTGTTTTACAACGAGTGGCAACTTTTAATAGAGCATTCTGAAGATTAACAAATGAAAAGCAGACTCACCTTGGCGGAAGTCTCTGTATCAGGGTTTTAGTAATGAAATTAAAATGTAGAAACTGTTTTTGAAAGTCTCATGGTGTGATTCACATTTTCAGATGGACACTGCAAGCACCTCATGGCATACATTAGATTTCAAACTAGAAATAGAGCAGTTCTTATTTCCCATTTAATCTGATGTACACATTATTTGCCAAGTGCCTTTCATGGTTCAATCACTCAGTTAAAATAAGTTGAGTTTGATTTAACTGCCTAAGATTTTCATAAATATTTTCTCTACTCCAATTTTTTCACTGGTGAGTTCATGAAATATATAATCCTCAGAGAGGATGGTATAAATGCTTTGCAGTATTTATGAAGGCTCCTATTTTCTTATAGTATTTTCGGTTTCTTATACTGTAGTTTCTTATAGTTCCTGTCCATATCGTCTTCTTACATGCCAGATTTCAATAAAACGTGTTTTCAAGTTATATCCAGTATGCTCCTTGGAATGCTTTTGGTGGCCTCTTGTTCAAGAAGACAGACAGAAACACAAATCGGTTTCACTGCAAATCCTGGTTTGGCACTAGGGAATCACTAAACTTCGTGAAATGTGTCGACTTGGAGAGCAAGTGAGGAAACAATGGAACAGAGTTAAAACGGAGACTTCACTTCATGGAGCAGGTTCACAGCTTTCCCTCTGCTCTGTTCCTGCAGAAGCTAATGAATACTTGGTCTCATTTTCTGAGTCACACCAACCCAGAGGAAGCCTAATGTCCACACTGGATGGAAGTTGATCCAATCTGATAAAATGATTATTCATCTCTATATCCTTTGTGGTTCTTCAAGCCAAGTTTGCTTCCACAGCAGAATTAATATAAAAAAACAACTAGCCACAGCTTGACAGAACTCTAACTTCAGTCATTTTATTTATACCTAAAATAGTCCTGTATCATAAACTTGGTTTGGGAAATCCATCCTGGAAACAGATTTCACTTTGCTTACAACACAGTGCATCATAGACTCCTGGGAGTCCAGCCTGAATAAGGACAGCAGAATCAGAACCCCTATGAGAAAGAAACGCTACTACCGACGTACAAGAAGCCTTCCAACCCTTTTAAAAAATAAAAACCCTATTTAACCTTGCACGCTGGTTTATTATGCAATATTAAAGATCAGTCCTGGATGTTCATTGGAAGGACTGATGTTGAAGCTAAAACTCCAATACTTCGGCCACCTCATGCGAAGAGCTGACTCATTTGAAAAGACCCCAATGCTGGGAAAGATTAAAGGCAGGAGGAGAAGGGGATGACAGAGGATGAGATGGTTGGATGGCATCACCAACTCGATGGACATGGGTTTGGGTGGACTCCGGGAGTTGGTGATGGACAGGAAGGCCTGGCGTGCTGTGGTTCATGGGGTTGCAAAGAGTCGGACACAACTGAGCGACTGAACTGAATGCATATTTTACCATAGATGACTTTTACTCAAAGACAATATTTTTTTTTCTTACTTTACATTCTCCATTTAACCCTTAGACTGCAGCAGACATCACCAGGTGGGAGCTCATTTCGGGATGGTGGACTCGTGGATGTATGTGGACCCTGCCCACTCTTCCTGCCACGGCAGTCGGCACAAAAGCCTCCCAGCCTCGGTCCTGCCCAGGGTTCCCCCGTGGCCCCACCCGGAGCCTGGTGGGCTACAGTCCATGGGGTCACAAAGAGTAGGACACAACTTAGCGACTAAACAGTTAACAACAATATGCATATACATATTATATGCACATATATTGTGTACACACATACACACACACATATATATACACAATACCAAAACACAGAAACATTGCCAAGTATGAAGAAATTAAATGTATCTTTTTCACAGGTAACAAATTTGGAAATGAAGAGTTTCAATGCACAGAAAAACACACATAAATGCAAAACTCACCGGTTGACCTCCCCACCACCTATGGTTAAATTTCTCTCGCCCTCGAAGATTGAAATGTGCATCAAATACAGGATCATACATGGAATTACCAACAATTCCATGTGATTCTGGATACAGCCCCTTTGTGGAAAAGCAAATTTATTGTCAAAATAATCCACATGTAATAATAGTTCTATCATAAATTTTATCATAGAAGGTTTTATAACAATATGTAATTTCCAATTTTATATGATATACATAACTTTTACATGTCTGTCAGAGGAAACATGACTATTATCTATACACTAGTTGTAAGCCATTGTGAAACTTGACATGATTATAAGAAATTTAACATTGAAGTTTTTTTTAACTGTTAAAATTTAATAAGATGACAACAATTTTTATTACAATAAATTAAACTATAGATTGAAATTTACTTATGTGTCTCCAAAGAAGCTTCTATTTCTAAATACACTATTCCTTTTTCCTTGGTTCTATTTCTACTCCAAGGCAAAAAGAAATAAACAAAATAAATAAATTATATTTTTTAAAGAAGAAACCGAGGTAGAATTTATGAGCATCTGAAAATTAAAACATAGCAGCTCCAAAGTCAATGCTTTTATTTGAAAACTCAGAAACTAAAGAATAGATCCTGTGGTATCTGAGAGGTTGGATGAATATATTCAGACAGAATTGCACCTGGGGAAAAAAAGGGTTTTAAAGTTGCAATGAAGTTCAGTCATTGACAAAGTTGTAAAGGGCATTTACTATGACAATTGATAAAGGTAAGATGAAAAACAGAAAGATTTTCTCTTAACACTAAGGAACATGGTTTTAAAATTTCCCTTTAAGTCATTTCAGGATGAAATCAGCCCTTTGAATCTACACCATTTGAAAGAATACTTACAGTGGCCAAAGTGTATAAGTTAGGGAAAGTTTTTGTTGGGTACACAGGCCTCATGTAGGGGGAGTGAGTGCCACAAGACCCTGGAGACAGAATTCAGGTATTAGAGCAAGAATAACAACAGGAAACACTCCCCAGGGAGACCCATTCTACGCACAAAGACACGGGCTCTCTTCACTCTTGAATTTCAAATGGGAAGGCCGTGAGCCCAGACATCTCAGAACCGACAGCTGAGGGTTACTGGGCGGGTCACGGATCACAGATAGGAACCCAGGACAAGAATGACTTACTCAGCTTTTCAATGTTAGGCATGACCTTGCTGCCTTTCTTCATGTACGATGCGCGGAAACCGTCCACAGAGAAGATGATCAGTGGAGGGCGAACAAACCTTAAACGGTAACACGATAAACTTCAGACAGATAACGTCACAGAGTTGGCACTGTGCTTAGTCCTTCTTAGCAGAAGAACCGAGAACTTCTAAAGCAAACCTTCAGCGGGGGTATCTCTACGAGCCTGGGCTTTCAGCCACATGACATTTGTGGGAACTTCAGTGCAGAGTGAAATGACCCGGGAAGGAGCTGGACTCCAGGCTTCCCTCAATGTGCTCTCTCCAAGGCTGCCTCTGGCATTGCAAACGAGGCTTTTCACATTGTAAAAAGCTGTTATACTGATTTGCCTCTGGTATGAATTCTCCCATTTGCTACCTGAAAAACTATTCATTCTTTAAAATCCAGCTCAAGATCTCCTCTTTCATAGCAATGGTTGATGCTTCAGAATTCCTTTAAGATAATAATTAATACCTCTTTCATATTAATATATATCACTTTATATATAATATAATATATGCCGTATTAATATATATTAATAATTTAATTATATAATAAATACATATTGAATTAATAAATGCACGTTATATTTTAATATATTACATTATATTATAATGCTATATTAACATGTTTATCTTCTTCATTAGTTTCAAAGCACAGTTCGTGTCTTATTCATCTTTCTATTTTATGGACCTATTGTAGGGCTTCAATAATTTATCAAATACAGAAGGAAGGGAGGAAGGAAAATGAAATTAATAAGCAGTAGCAATCTTATCACTAGACTAGACACCAAAAATTCTAAGTTTAATTACAAAATGATTGTGAAAATAATTAAAACTGTTGAAGATCTCTAAAACTTAATCAATAAAGAACTAGACCATCCATCTAACTAGGGCAGGACTGATGAACTAGGCTCTTTGTTATAGTCTAAAGTTCCAGTTGTTCGATCAAATCTGAGAGTGCTAAACTTTGTGGAAAACTGTTTTTAATGGTTTGCAGACTATTCCTCAAGCACAAGCTTGCATTTATTTGAAGACACATAACAAATGAGTCTGACTCTTGCAACCCCATGGACCATAGCCTGCCAGGCTCCTCTGTCCATGGGATTCTCCAGGCAAAAGCACTGTAGTGGGTTGCTGTTCCCTTCTCCAGGGGATCTTCCCAACCCAGGAATTAAATCCTCGTCTCCTGTGTCTTCTGCATTGCAGGCAAATACTTTACTACTGAGTCATGTGGGAAGCCCATATTTAAAATGAGTCACATACTAAGCACTTAGAATAATTCTATGAGTTCATTACTATCATCACTATTATCATTTAATGATTTTACCACTTGGACTGCTTTCTCTTCCAAAAATAACCAAACACATTTTAAACATTCAGACACTACTGTCATCCCATTCTAATAGCCCAAAGAAGTTCAAGTAGCTCATGAAAGTTAAAAAGGAGACAAAAATAAAAATATCTAAACTCTTGGATCTTGTGTCCCAGGCTGTGCTACCTAAAACAAAAAGACGTTCAGTCACATACACTCATGAAAACACATTTGTAGAACATCTTATTTTTTGCCAGGCACTTTAAGGGTCCGTGGATTTGCGGCAGATTCCTGGAAGGCATCGTAAGTCCCCTACGCTGGTCCCACTTCAGCTGTGGGGTGTCACTAGGTCTGGCTGGACCCCAGCAAAGCAATGCAGTGGCGGTTTGCCAACTTCCTGCAGCATCTGGTAGGAGTTACCATCTTGGATAATATTTTCGAGAAGCTCTGGAGTCCTCCCTCCAGCCACCCCACCACCACGGCCGCCACCAAAAAAAAAAGCAAAAGGAGCAGTTCAGGAAAAAAACACAGGAAAACCAAATCGCTGCCAGAAATGTTCCTCTTCCCCTTCGGTATTATTATTATCGTTATTTCTAAAATCTTCAGCTGAGGTGAGATACAGAGGATATTGTTTCCAGTATGTGCAGAGGCAATAGGAGAAAAGATTTTTAAAAACATTTCTTTTATTTTTTAAATTTTTTATTGAGTTCTAATTCACATCTCATACAATTCATTTGTTTTACTTGTATGACTCAATGATTTTGGGTATTTTTACAGAGTTGTGTAACTATCACCACAGACATAGAGTTGATTTTTTTGTTTTTTCTCGTTACACCATTTGGCATGTGAGATCTCAGTTCCCAGACCAGGGATTGGACCTGCACCCCCTATGGTGGGTGCCTGAAGGTCTTAACCACTGGACTGCCAGGGAAATCCCAGTAGAAGAAAATTAAAAAAAAAAAAAATTCTCCCTTCAAGATGTACATTCCAGCTTCTGAATAGGAAATTACACAGAAGTACTCATAAATTTGCCCATGTAAGAGGACATTGTTTTAAACCTTTTACCCATCCATAGCTTGTGATATTTTATCAACACATATATAAAATGGCATAATATTCATAAAATGCACTCACCCTGCAGGACATTCTGGGGTCTTTATTTCCTCACAGTCATCATCTACCCAATGAGACTCTCCTGTAAGGAAAAATGGGTAGACTATTGGGTAAATTGAATTATAAATGTCATCTGGAGCATTGAAGAGTATAACTGCAGAACCTGTGTCCTGTTAAATACTTGTTGTTTATGGAACGCCATCTAAAAAGACCTTCAGAAATGAAGTCTAGAGTCTGTTTTGGCTTTACTACGCTACACCCATGCGTGATGGGAGAGCCTAGGCTTAATAACCCCAAGTGGTGTTTACTTGAGCGTTCCGTGTCTAAATGGCTTGTAGATAGAAACACCAGTGGCGTCAGGGAACAAAATTCTATGTTTGTTTCCCTCCAGAAATAAACTGTTTGGTCATTAGACGGAACATTTTCTCCTATGCCACCAAACATCTCAAAGCCATAGAAAACATGATACAACTTCCCTTTAGCTGGGGAAAAATGTTTGGACTCCTTGGAGATGACAGATGGAAGACGGCCATAGAGCGGTTCTTCACCAATGGTATGTGTACAACCCTCGCACTAAGGAATCTAAACCAATGCTATCTTTCATTTTTATGTTCCAGCAAGATCTGAGAGCATAAACCTATGCCATTCTTGAGTCACTTCATCTGGAGAAGAGGGCAGGAACAGAGATGCAGAGAAAGAGAAGGAACTTGTGGACACGGGGCAGGGCGGGGCGGGGCGTGAGGAGGGGACACACGTGTACACGCAGCTGATTCACGCTGCCGCACGCAGAGATCCACACAGCATTGTAAAGCAATTACACTCCACCTGGAAACTCACTCACTCACTAAGACCCTAAAAAAGAGAGACTAAAAAAGAGCTTAGATTAAAAAATGAAGCTTACTCTGGAGAAAACGAAAATTACCAAAAAGCATGTGCTTTAAATTTTCCTAAAACAAACAAAGCATATATCTGAAATGTAAGTAACACTTGCGACCAAGACTTTGAAGAAACTGCTCCCAAGTAAAGAGCGCTGGACATCTCCCTGGTCAGGACGAATCTAACTAGTGCCACTCTCCTTAAAGCGGAGCAGCTCTTGACACATGTGATAACCCAGGGGCCACACACGAGCCACAGGCAAGTCCCACAACTAGAATTTTAAGCCAGCAAAAGCCAGTGTTTCACAATTCAATGACCAATGATACCTAGAACTTTATTTTCTCTTCTAATAGCCTTTGTGGATTATTGGTAGATTTACCAGGGAAATAAAAGGGAAAAGAAAAGAAAATTCTCAACCAATTTTGTGTTTTATCAATAGCTACAACAATCATTTGGATAGGAGAAATTTTCAAGCTCAGCATTCAGGTAGGATGTGTTGCCGTAACTAAACACTACACATATTTCAGAACTGATCTGTTCTTCCCCTAAAATATTTGAACGGAAACTCTACATAAATGTTCCATGTCACAGCTAGGAAAAGGTCTTCATTTAAACACTGAAAAGTGACCTGCAAACTTTACACAAAGGTCCTGGGATCCTTTCATTAACTTGGCTAAGCGGTTGCCAGGGTGACAAACTCCTTAAAGACAGAAACGGAATCTTTTATACATTTGGCAGTCCATTGACGAGTATTTACTATTGGAATAAAACCATCACATTCGACAATCCACCTCACCAAGTCAGCACGCACAGATACACGGCTCTGGGGCGTAATGAGAGCTACGGTTTAGGCCCCCTCCTCTTCAGCAGCAGTGCTCCCATCCTGGGGCTCGAGTGGTGAAGAGCCCGCTGCCAATGCAGGAGGCGTAAGAGACGGAGCGTTGATCCCTGGGTGGGGAAGATCCCCTGGAGGAGGGCATGGCCACCCACGCCAGGATTCCTGCCTGGAGAGTCCCATGGACGGAGGTGCCTGGGGGGCTACAGTCCAGAGGGTCGCACAGAGTCGGACGCGACTGAGGGACTTAGCATGCTCACACTCCCACCCGAGGCTGGTGTTGGCGCCGAGGCTCACCGCTGACAGCCGGTGGGCACAGAGCCGCGCCCCCAGCTGCAGACGTAAGAGCTCTGAGGCTCACCCTCCGGAGCCCGAGGAGGGCACAGCCAGGGGACCCGTGCCCTGAGCCACAGCCTCGCTCACCTGCCCCTCCCCACACCCCTCCTCCCTCAGGCGGTTCTCCTGCAGAGACCTTCTCAGAGAGTTCGCTGGACAGCACTCCCGTCTCAGGCTCTGCTTCTGGGAAACCTGACCAAGACAGGAACTCTTTCAGAAATCTCTTCATGATTCAGTTCCATTCAGTTCAGTCGCTCAGCCGTGTCCGACTCTTTGCGACCTCATGAATCGCAGCATGCCAGGCCTCCCTGTCCATCACCAACTCCCGGAGTTTACTCAAACTCATGTCCATGGAATTGATGATCCCATCCAGCCATCTCATCCCCTGTCGTCCCCTTCTCCTCCTGCCCCCAATTTCTCCCAGCATCAGGGTCTTTTCCAAGGAGTCAACTCTTCACATCAGGCGGCCAAAGTACTGGAGTTTCAGCTTCAGCATCAGTCCTTCCAATGAACACCCAGGACTGATCTCCTTTAGGATGGACTGGTTGGATCTCCTTGCAGTCCAAGGGACTCTCAAGAGTCTTCTCCAACACCACAGTTCAAAAGCATCAATTCTTCTGCACTCAGCTTTCTTCACAGTCCAGCTCTCACATCCACACATGACTGCTGCTGCCACTGCTGCTAAGTCGCTTCAGTCGTGTCTGACTCTGTGCGACCCCATATACGGCAGTCCACTAGGCTCCTCTGCCCCTGGGAGTCTCCAGGCAAGAACACTGGAGTGGGTTGCCATTTCCTTCTCCAGTTCGTGAAAGTGAAAAGTGAAAGTGAAGTCCCTCAGTCATGCCCAACTCTTAGCGACCCCATGGACTGCAGCCCACCAGGCTCCTCCATCCATGGGATTTTCTAGGCAAGAGTACTGGAGTGGGGTGCCATTGCCTTCTCTGGCATACATGACTATGGGTCCCTAATTATGGAATTTGGGATAATTTCCTTGCTATTTCCGACCAGCAAAGTGCAGACTGGCCAATCTGAGAAAGAAGCCTGAGAAACGAAAAAGCACAACTCACTCCCACCAAGCCCATATCCAAGGTGTCACAGCCACAACAGCCAAGGTCTCCTGGAACATCTCCCATTTTCCCTCCTTTAAAGTTTCCGCCAGCAGAGAAAGCACACACCTTTGCAAACCACTTGGTAGTTAGTGCAGCAGTCTCCCCTGGCCAAGCAGTCCTCTGAGCAATGACAGGCATGGTCTTCGTTTCTTACTTCTCCACATCTGTCCTTGGTACACTCCCAGCCGCCAGCTGAAATCGGCACAACAGAACACTTTTCACTGCATCGCAGAAACCAAATAAAAGAGGCCACAATTGCTTACAACACTTGCCAAGAAAAAGAGCTAAAGTCCCACATCATTTAATCTGCTTGTGAAATTAGAGTTGGCCTGAGGCCTAAATGATATCTGGCATACTTACAAATAGGATGGATTTTTAGCTTTTCAAATTGGAATACAAAGTCCAATGGCATTGGGCCCCTTTGGAAAAATGGAACCCTTAACCACTTGTGAACTGTCCTAAAAGACCAATAAAAGGTATGGTGTATAAAGTTTGTGAGAGCAACATTTCCCCAGGTGGTGCTAGTGGTGACAAACACGCCTGCCAATGCAGGAGATGTAAGAGAAATGGGTTTGAGCCCAGGGTCAGGAAGATCCCCTGGAGGAAGGCACGGCTACCCACTCCAGTATTCTTGCCTGGAGAATCCCAGCACAGAGGGCTCTGGCAGGTTGCAGTCCATGGGTAACAGAGTCAGACACAACTGAAGCGACTTAGCACATACCATTGTAGAGCTAGTTGGCCATAGCTGGGCTCTTTTATTTTCCAAAGTAGTTTTACTTAAACCTGAATCAACTTGACTTAAATACAAATGATAGTGCAACTAAATGGCCTCTACCTGATATAAGATGCACCAGAGGTTAAAGTTATTTGAAGAGTATGTGTGTGTTAGTTGCTCAGTCGTGTCTGATACTTTGCGACCGCGTGGACTGTAGCCCACCAGGCTCCTCTGTCCATGGGATTCTCTAGGCAGGAACACTGGAGTGGGTTGCCATTCCCTTCTCCAGGGGATCTTTCTGACTCAGGGATCGAACCTAGGTTTCCTGCATTGCAGGCAGATTCTTCACCATCTGAGCCACCAGGGAAGCCGTGAAAAGTATAAAGCCATACTAAAAACGTTCAGTTCTGAGTGTAGACCAACCTGTGGCCCTACCTACAATTACAGGTCAAAATACCTAGTTTCAAGGAGGTCAGTTGCTAGGTTACAGATTTCTATCTAGGCATACTTGATTAGAAGCTCACAACTCTTTTCCACCAAGAAAATACCTTCAGAAAAGTAACATCTTCGTTTTAAAGAGTGCCGGACTTCACGCGTGACTTCTCATCCACTGGACTGTAAGCTCCATGGCAGGGAAGTCCCATCTCTCCTTTCACCGCTGTAACTCCAGTGCCTGAGTGTGCACCTGGCTCAAGCCAGTGTCCATGAACATCAATTAAATCTAATTCAGAATTACCGTGAAAATAAAATGCAACTCTTTAAATTCACGGTTGCTGTACTGAGAAACTTCATGGCTAATTCATTGATTCGAAAATACATCTACTATGTTTTCCATGTTCTAGGTTCCGGGGAGGTAGTGAAGAACAAGGAAGACAAGGTCCTGTCTTCATGGACCTTACATTCCAGTTGGGAAAGACAGACCATAAGCAAGTCAATTAGTCAATGAGATCATTTCAGCTTGCAGTAAGTGCTGAGAAGAAAACTAACACAGACAGAGAGTGACAGGGTGGGCTGGGTCCACTTGGCTCAGAATGGTCAGGAAAGGCCTCTCTGAGCTAAAGGACAGTTCAGATCTTCATCTCTTAAAACATGTCGTAAGTGAGAAGCAAAACTTTTAGAAAGCAATGCTGCTCTTTAGTAATATTCTACCGAGAGCTACAATTGCTATGTGAATAATTGGATAAACAGATATTAGTTGCCATACTAGAAAATCATGCAACTACTGTTTAATTTCCATATTTTACAATTACTCTTGCATCCTGATTCCATTCTCTGATATTTTTTATAACCCCTGTTTCCACTGCCTTCTCTTTCCAAGCAGATTAAATGCTTGGAATTCTTCTACCCAGGATCTGCTATTCTCAATGGTTAGCAATTTTCCAAGGTTATGTTGATGGACAGAGGTCATGTGAGGTTTTTCTTCCTCAATTCAAAGATAATTCTTCCAACCAAAACACTTTTTAAAAATTTGTTACTTTTGCCATGTAATCTTTTAAGCTGATATGTTGTAGCTTCAGTTTTCTTTATTCAGTTCAAGAAATTTTCTTTCCTTTCCTTTCGGCCACATGGCATCTTAGAACCAGGGATCAGACCCAGCGCCCCCAACACTGGACCCAGAGGCACAGCCACAGGACCAGCAGGGACGTCCCCAACAAAAATATTTTTATTCCTCCCCTAGTTCCATAAAAGGGCGTCCCTGGTAAAGAACCCTCCTGCTAATCCAGGAGCTGCATGCTTGATCCCTGAGTCAAGAAGATCCCCTGGAAGAGGGCATGGCAACCCATTCTATATTCTTGGCTGGGAAATCCCATGGACAGAGGCGCCTGGTGGGCTACAGTCCATGGAGTTGCAAAGAGTCAGATACAACTTAGCAACTAAACAACAAGTCCCATATGAAAATCCCTTTACTTACAAAAGAGCATCACTATTAACAAGCTAGATATAGTGAAGCATGACTAACTTGGCATAAGACTGAAATTTTTAAAAATTTAGTGAACCTCAAGCAAGGTAAGATTATGTATAATTTTAAAAGCAACTATAAGAATAAACAAAAATATTTAACCTTATTAGATAATAATAGTTATCTATCATATCAGAAAAGAAATTGTTATAAATGAGAACATGCTGAAAAGGGAATGCTGAAAGGGCCTGTACCCTTTGAGAGAAATATAAACTTTGAGATGCATAATTATGTTACATTTATTTACATTTAAGAAATGCATATATACTTTGTCTGGCCCTAGGTGAGTGTGAGTGATCACACCATTGTGATTATCTGGGTCATGAAGATCTTTTTTGCACAGTTCTTCTGTGTATTCTTGCCATCTCTTCTTAATATTTTCTGCTTCTGTTAGGTCCATACCATTTCTGTCCTTTATTGTGCCTATCTTTGCATGAAATGTTCCCTTGGTATCTCTCATTTTCTTGAAGAGATCTCTAGTCTTGCCCATTCTATGGCTTTTCTCTATTTCTTTGCCTTGATCACTGAGGAGGGCTTTCTTATCTCTCCTGGCTATTCTTTGGAACTCTACATTCAAATGGGAGTATCTTTCCTTTTCTCCTTTGCTTTTCGCTTCTCTTCATTTCACAGCTATTTGTAAGGCATCCTCAGACAGCCATTTTGCTTTTTTGCATTTCTTTTTCTTGGGGATGGTCTGGATTCCCGTCTCCTGCACAATGTCACGAATCTCCATCCATAGTTCATCAGGCTCTCTGTCTATCAGATCTAGCCCCTTAAATCTATTTCTCACTTCCACTGTACAGTCATAAGGGATTTGATTTAGGTCATACCTGAATGGTCTAGTGGTTTTCCCTACTTCCTTCAATTTAAGTCTGAATTTGGCAATAAGGAGTTCATGATCCGAGCCACAGTCAGCTCCCAGTCTTGTTTTTGCTGACTGTATAGAGCTTCTCCATCTTTGGCTGAAAAGTATATAATCAGTCTGATTTCAGTGTTGACCATCTGGTGATGTCCATGTCTAGAGTCTTCTCTTGTGTTGTTGGAAGAGGGTGTTTGCTATGACCAGTGCGTTCTCTTGGCAAAACTCTATTAGCCTTTGCCCGGCTTTATTCTGCACTCCAAGGCCAAATTTGCCTGTTACTCCAGGTGTTTCGTAACTTACTACTTTTGCATTCCAGTCCCCTATAATGAAAAGGACATCTTTTTGGCATGTTAGTTCTAGAAGGTCTTGTAGGTCTTCATAGAACTGTTCAACTTCAGCTTCTTCAGTGTTACTGGTTTGGGGCACAGACTTGAATTGCCATGATATTGAATGGTTTTGCCTTGGAAACGAACAGAGATCATTCTGTCGTTTTTGAGATTGCATCCAAGTACTGCATTTCAGACTCTTTTGTTGACTATGATGGCTACTCTATTTCTTCTAAGGGATTCCTGCTCAGAGTAGTAGATATAATGGTCATCTGAGTTAAATTGAGAGTCCCTTGGACTGCAAGGAGATCCAACCAGTCCATCCTAAAGGAGATCAGTCCTGGGTGTTCACTGGAAGGACTGATGTTGAAGCTGAAACTCCAGTACTTTGGCCATCTGATGCGAAGAGCTGACTCATTTGAAAAGACCCTGATGCTGGGAAAGATTGAGGGCAGGAGGAGAAGGGGACGACAGAGGATGAGATGGCTGGATGGCATCACCGACTTGATGGACATGAGTTTGGGTAAACTCCGGGAGTTGGTGATGGACAGGGAGGCCTGGCATGCTGCGGTTCATGGGGTCGCAAAGAATCAAACATGACTGAGTGACTGAACTGAACTGATAAAAACTTTGATCCCCAAATCCCATTCCTCAGAATGTATCCTAAGGAAAACAGACGAAAGTATGAACATGCATGAACAATATTCATTGGTGCATTGTTCATAGTAGCAAGAGTTAGGGGAAACATAAATGCTGATCACTCACTCAATGAAGTAGGTTGCATCTGTTCAATGGAATATGATATAGGCATTCAAAAGGATGACATGTATAAAGGTACATAAATACAGATACACCCTCACACAGGCATAAACATATGCAAATATAAATATATACACACATATGTTTTAAACCCCCTGATGCTGGGAAAGACTGAGGGCAAGAGGAGAAGGGGGCAACAGAGGATGAGATGGCTAGATGGCATCACCGACTCAATGGACATGAGTTTGAGCAAGCTCCAGGAGTTGGTGATGGACAGGGAGGATTGGTGTGCTGCATGCAATTCATGGGGTCGCAAAGAGTCAGACATGACTTAGCAACTGCACAACAAATACATTCTAAACACATAACACTGTCTGAGATTGCACTGAAACACTGATTGTGCTTATCTCTGGGTCAGCAGAGTGGTATCTCAGAGATCCTTCAACCCTTTGTTATTATTTTATATTTGACTCTTCCACATTTGGCCTAAGGTATCTTTGTACACAGGGACGTGAACTACTTTAAAGTGTTATTCTAGTCTATGTTTATTAAACTTGGAAAGAAAGGCATGAGCTACATTCAGAGAGAGCTAAGCTAGAGTCAGAAGATCTGTTCAAGTTTAGAAGAAGCTCTAAGATCAGGAATTGGGATGGCTGAGATGATGTGTCAGGGACAAGATACTCAAAGTAGAGAGGAAATATGGAATATTAGCTAGTTCTTTAGTGCCAAGTAAACACAGACCACTGGTTTGAAATAATATTTTGAAGCCAAAAACTCTGCTGGAACATCTGTTCCATCCCTATATTCAGTTTACAAGGTTCTCATCATTTCAGTTTACAAACCCACAACTCAGAAAGCTGGGAGAAGTTCCAAATGAAAAAGGAAAGGAACAACAACAAAAAATATGGCCAAACATTGGGAAAATGTATTATGCAAAAATAAATAAATAAATAAACAGACTAATAGCACTCTCCTTCTCTTGAGGAGGGGGGGAAATCTGAACTAGTAAGGAGTTGACACAGGTTTTCATATAAATCAGGTGCTATTCCTTTAGTAAAGGAGAATAACATATCTGTTTCTAATGTTGTCATTAGAAAAGTCAGACTTATGTTAATGATAATATGAGCTGGATTTTTGAAATAATCATCTGACCATAAAAGTCTAAAAGCAGGTAATAATTTATCAAGAGAGCTGTGGAATCTCTGTATCTAACGGTCTTAATACAACGGATTATTATTACTCAGCCATAAAAAAGGAGGGCTCCACTGGTGGCGCAGACAGTAAAGAGTCTGGCTGTAACACAGGAGGCCTGGGCTCGATCCCCGGGTCAGGACGATCCCCTGGAGAAGGAGACGGCAGCCCACTCCAGTGTTCTTGCCTGGAGAATCCCATGGACAGAGGAGCCTGGAGGGCCACAGTCCATCGGATCACAAAGAGTCAGACAAAGACTGAGCAACCAACACTAATACTTATAAAAAAGAATAAAATTGGGTTGTTTGTAGAGATGTGGATGGACCTAGAGACTCTCATATACAGTGAAATAAGTCAGAAAGAGAAAAATTAATATCATGTATTAACATATATATGGAATCTAGAAAAATAGTATAGACAGTTTTATTTGCAAAGCAGAAATAGAGACATGGACACAGAGAAGAAAAGTATGGGCACCCAGGTGGGGGAGATAGGGGGAGTGGTATGAATCGGGAGACGGGGATGGACCTGTGTACTGCTGACACGATGAACAAAACAGGTGACTCGTGGGAGCCTGTTGTAGAGCTCAGCGAGCCCTGCCCAGCGCTCGGAGCTGACCACCCGGGAAGGAGACGAGAGGGGAGATACAGACACACAGATAGTTGGCTCACGTTGCCGTGCAGTAGAAACTAACTCAGCACACTAAAGCAACTACCGTCGCTGTCCAGTTGCTAAGTCGTGTCTTTGCAAGCCAATGGACTGCAGCCTGAAAGGTTCCTCGGCGCTCAGCCTTCCTTATCCAACTCTCACATCCGTACATGACTACTGTAAAAACCATAGCCTAGGCCAGACGGACCTTTGTCAGCAAAGTGATGTCTCTGCTTTTTAATATACTATCTAGGCTTTTCATAGCTTTGTTTCCAAGCAGCAAGCATGTTTTAATTTCAAGGCTGCAGTGATTTTGGAGCCCAAGAAAATAAAATCTGTCACTGCTTCCACTTTTTCCAAAAAATGATTTTTTACAAAATGACCTTAAGAGCAGGGTTGCTCGTCACCTTTCCCATAGAGTCTGAATAGGATGCTGCCCAGAGGTATGGGGGCGGGGGGCAGTAATCTACAAGGTGACTGCAAAGTCTCACCTAAAGTGTTAAGACTTTGGAAACAGCATGTAGAATGAGTCCCCAAAGGTGATTTTCTCAACTAATGCATGTTCACAGACCAGTATATCACACTGACCCTTCTATTATAGAAGCAATGTAACAAAGGTCAGGAACTTGTGGAGGAAGATTTTAGAGCTGCCTCGAGCGTGCAACCCCAAGAAGAATTCCAAAATGATTTGGGACTTCCACTGAGAAGAAGCAATGACCTCAGAGTAGACCCATCGTCACAATACGATAAGATGAAACCAACCGAATGTTACAACCTGAGCAGGGCAAGCAAAAACAATGCAGTTAAAACAGACCCCAAAAGGGCACAGGCATCCTAGCAGTGAATGAGGGAACTGAGAGCAAGAGATAGAAGTCATGAAGACGAAAGAAAAAATAACTGGTCACAAACATCCCAAACTACTAAGTGACGACTGCAGCTGCCAAGAATTCTCTTTGGGCTGAGTCTCGTGTGGATACAACGGTCACACAGAGTGTGCTCGTAACACAGCTGACAGCGACTCCAGGAACAAAACGAAACCCCACAGTTTGGTTTGTCCAAAGCAGGGTGGCAGCGGCGCGCAACAGCAGGGGGTCGCTAAGCCAGCTAACCAGGACTGGAGAGGATTCGAGAGTCACGCACCGGTCTTCAAGCAGAGTTCATCGAAGTCGAGGCAGCAGCTGCTGTAGCTCTTACACAGGTTGTCACAGCGACAATCAGGGGGTCCGGCCTCCTGAAGTTCAAAGCATCTGCCCTTGCAAGATCCGGAGATGTTGATCGAGGGGGAGTCTGATAACACTGCGCGAGACAAGAGACAGGGCAATGGGATCAGGGAATAGGTCATGTCACTAGGGGGCTTCCCCGGTGGCTCAGACAGGAAAGAATCCACCCGCAGTGCGGGAGACCTGGGTTCGATCCCTGGTTTAGGAAGATTCCCCTGGAGAAGGGAAAGGCTACCCACTCCAGTATTCTGGCCTGGAGAACTCCATGGACAGAGGAGCCTGGCAGGGTACGGCCCACGGGTCACAGAGAGTCGCATGACTGAGCGACTTCCCTGTCACGTCACTCTGGCAGGGGGCCCTGGGCAGAAGACTGCCGTGATGCAGGAAGACTCAAGCTGAGCAGCCTGGCTCCATCTCCTGCTGGCTGTGAACCTCAGCAGGTCCTCTGCGCCGGTTTCCTCATCTGTACAGTGGGGAGACCAATAAAAGTAACTGGAGGCTATCATGAGAGTTAAATGAGATATTGAGCAAGGTGTCAGCCATAAAGAAAGCAACAAATGTTGGCTACTGGTTTTACTCCTATTTACAGTGATTGTTACTACAAATCTGTGTTTCTGTGGATGTTGTGATGCCAACAGAGAACAGTACTTTGAAGTCTACACTTAGAAGTGTTCATTCCCCTGTTCAAAAATCCACAGCTTTTGTAAGGAATGTGCATGCAAGCTCAGCTGCTCGGCCATATCCAACTGTGTGCGACCCATGGCCTGTAACCTGCCAGTCTTCTCTGTCCATGTGATTTTCCAGGCAAGAATACTGGAATGGGTCGCCATTTCCTACTGCAGGGGATCTTCCCGACTCAGGAATCAAACCTGTGTCTCTTGCATCTCCAGCATTGGCAGGCAGGGTTCTTTATAACTGCAACCGGAAAATTGAGTCTGAATGTTCTGAGAACAGTCTGAACAGATGGGGTTGAAATAAAAGACTTTTAAGATCTCTTCCAGCTGTAAAACCTACAAACGTAACTAGAGTTATACACATGTAAACTCTACAATCTTGGAGAAAGAAAGGATTAATCAAGGCGTGAAAAAAAATTAATCAGTAAGTAGTGCTAGGGTAACAGGCTGGCTGGAAAAGTTAAGCTGGATCCTCATCCTAGCTCACAAAGCAAGTCAGATCTGCACAGGTCAGTATGGAAAGAGCTACAAAATGGATAAACATGTTTTCTGAAACAGCAAAGCATGGAAAACTATTCTGATCGACCCAGGGATCAACCCCAGGTGCCCTGAATTGAAGGCAGATTCTTTACCATCTGAGCCACCATGGAAGCCCTGGTGGTAGCTAGTATATATCATATTTTCTGTTAGAAATAGAGAGAGAGAAAGCAATAGAGATAAACATAAGATAAAGTCATAGGCCAGAGCTAGAGATGAGAGAGTGGGTGGGAACAGAAGCATTGAGACAGGTACCAAAGTGAATCTGGAGGAGGACACGGCACCCACCCCGGCATTCCTGCCTGGGAAACCCCATGGACAGAGGGGCCTGTGGGCTACGGTCCATGGGGTCACAAAGAGTCGGACATGACTGAGCACACAGCACACGCCAATTTGAATAACACTTTTCTTCACTGTAAAAAATTCTTAACAGAAATTATATTTGGAGAAATCAGAAAGACAAGAAGAAAGGAAACTTCTTACTCTTCTGCAGTTTGAAACTTCTTTTACAAATGTCTTTTTGTTTTTCTGATGTTTCACTTGCTTACTTCTGCCTCTCATGTATATATATAATGTATACCTATATGTGTCTAAGTAGACATACATGTGAATCTATGTGCATAAAGGATATATTATACAATATATAAATACCCTACAAATATTATTTATGTTATTTTAGTCCCTTGTTTATATTTATTAATTTTCCATTTTTTTATAATAAGAATCCATTACTTATAAAATCAAGAAAACACCAGAGGCAGGGAGAGAACAGATATTTAATGACATTTCTAGGTTCACCAAAGCCATTTATCTGAACATCCTGTTCATCTGTTAATTCTTTGTCCTCTTTCAAGTCAGAGTCACCCAATCCTAACCTGTACGACATTAGATCAGCTCAACTAAAGCAAACAGATTCACCTGACCACGAGATGTGAAACGCTTTTGCATGGTTGATTCTGGGATCTTCAGAGACATACAAATCACCCCCGTTCAGTTGAATAACATCAGGTTTCCAAGGCAATGCCTTACCTCTGATTCACAAACCACATTTTTCTATTGACTTTGCCCAACCAATCAGCAGACACACTGAACCCCGAAAACTATGAGAGGAGGGGGGCTGAGCAGCAGAGAAAGGAAAAATAAAGTTCTATGGTGAAAAGTGAATATAAGAAAAATGCTTATAACTGAAACATTCTTTTTAAGGATACTGCTTAGAATCATTCCATCATCCATCTACCATGATAAATTCTGAGTAGAATTTGTGCTCTTGAACTGCGTATATAAGCACACTTAGCTATCCTTAGAGCTGGGATAATCAGAAGAGCTTCAAAGGCACATTGTTCGCAGATGCTCACCCGTCCCGTCTCCTCTGTGGCATCCCAGCCAACACGTGACGTTTTCCTCCATTCACGCCCTTTGCTTTCCCCTCATCATAATCTCTTCCTTTTTCCTATTTTTACTTTCAAAAGATTTGTGTGAATTTCTAATCATTTTAAACCTTTCTCCATTCATTCTATCAAAGTGATTTTTACTCCTTCCTTCCAACAATAGTTATTCTCTAAGTTTACCACTCACTTTGCTTTTGAAAATAATTGAATTTCACACAATAGCTTGCCCCTATCCAATTATCATCTTCCTTGCCAACCCTTAAACTGACGACAGCTTTCTTAAGAAAAGTTGCACTTACACTCATAATGCAAAGACACAGCTCATAAAAAGTATTGCACTCAGTATGGGGTCACTAACAACTGTCAAATAAGAGTGAATTTCTGGGCTGGTGTGGATTAGGGATTATTGCTGCTTAGTTGCCAAGTGTGTGCGACTCTTGCAGCCCCATGCACTGCAGCGCACCAGGCTCTTCTGTCCATGGGATTTCTCAGGCGAGAATACTGGAGTGGGTTACTATTTCCTTCTGCAGAGGATCTCCCTGACCCAGGAATCAAACCTGGGTCTCCGGTGTTGGCAGGAGACTCTTTACTACTGAGCCACCAGGGGAGCCCATGGATTAGGGATACATATGCCAAACTCATTCCCGGCTGACTGAGATTCCGCCGAGAACGGCAGGAAGAGAAATAGGAAGGTACACAACGGAGCCCTTTATCAACACGTCTTCAAAGCCAGTAAGTCCAAGAGCGGAACGGCTGCACCCTTTTTTTTTTTTTAACAAAATAAAGTGACAGAACAAAGTTCACCCGGCCTTTCCAGGGCCTGTTCCGCCCCTGCCATCTTCCTTCAGAACGACTCCCAGCCCTGATTCTCTCCGCAGCCCGTCCCCACGAGCCGGCTTTTTCATCCCGCCCGGGCCCCGGGCCCTCGCCCCGCACCAGGCCGAGCTCAGGCTTTAGGACTGCTCTTCGTCTTGTACCTGATTGAACAGTCAGAAGTGGAAAGATTCTGACTTCTTATACCTGAACTCTAAAATCCGTAAAGCCCTCCTTTATCAGAACTAAAAACCTCAGAAGTAACGAGAAAGACAACAAGGAAAACAGTCTGTACTGAGTGAAGTAGGTCAGAAAGAGAAAAACAAGTACCGCATAGTAACACACAGATGTGGGATCTGGAAAAATGGTACCGGCACCTGTTGGCAGGGCAGGAACAGAGGCGCAGACATGGAGAACGGGACTGTGGACACGGCCAGGGAAGGGGAGGTGGGGCGGAGGGGCATGGGGCATAGACGTGGCCACGGGAAAAACAGACCGCAGGCGCGATCGCTGCGGAACTCAGGGAGGTCAGCCGGCGCCCTGTGACCCCCCAGGGGGTGCAACGCGGAGGGGGTGGGGGCGGACACCGCTGTCCGCGAGGACGGGGCCTGCGGGCACTCAGCGCCCGTTCACACTGATGGGGGAAGGGGGAGGTGCACGCGGGCCGCGCCTGCAGACACTCGGGGACGGTTCACACTGATGGGGGGGGAGGTGCACGTGGGCCGCGCCTGCGGACACTGAGGCACGCTTCACACTGATGGGGGAAAGGGGGAAGGTGCACGCGGGCCACGCCTGCAGACACTCGGGGACGGTTCACACTGATGGGGGGGAGGTGCACGCGGGCCGCGCCTGCGGACACTGAGGGACGCTTCACACTGATGGGGGAAGGGGGGAAGGTGCACGCGGGCCGCGCCTGCAGACACTCGGGGACGCTTCACACTGATGGGGGAAAGGGGGAAGGTGCACGTGGGCAGCGCCTGCAGACACTCGGGGACGGTTCACACTGATGGGGGGGAGGTGCACGCGGGCCGCGCCTGCGGACACTGAGGGACGCTTCACACTGATGGGGGAAGGGGGGAAGGTGCACGCGGGCCGCGCCTGCAGACACTCGGGGACGGTTCACACTGATGGGGGGGGAGGTGCATGCGGGCCGCGCCTGCGGACACTCGGGGACGCTTCACACTGATGGGGGAAGGGGGGAAGGTGCACGCGGGCCGCGCCTGCAGACACTCGGGGACGGTTCACACTGCTGTGGGAGGGGGGAAGGTGCACGTGGGCAGCGCCTGCAGACACTCGGGGACGGTTCACACTGATGGGGGAAGGGGGAAGGTGCACGTGGGCAGCGCCTGCAGACACTCGGGGACGGTTCACACTGATGGGGGGGAGGTGCACGCGGGCCGCGCCTGCGGACACTGAGGGACGCTTCACACTGATGGGGGAAGGGGGGAAGGTGCACGCGGGCCGCGCCTGCAGACACTCGGGGACGGTTCACACTGATGGGGGGGGAGGTGCATGCGGGCCGCGCCTGCGGACACTCGGGGACGCTTCACACTGATGGGGGAAGGGGGGAAGGTGCACGTGGGCAGCGCCTGCAGACACTCGGGGATGGTTCACACTGATGGGGGGGGGAGGTGCACGCGGGCCGCGCCTGCGGACACTGAGGG